CACCTACCATGCTTATCCTTACTGGCAACCATCGTACTGGAGCAAGGGCTATTGCTTCTGCTCGCCATCTGCGTAACCGAGGTCATCGGGTTACAGTCTGTTTGCTTGGGCTCGAACACGAAGCTGAATTGCTGGAGAATTGCCGCAAACAACTTGATATTTTCCGCAAGGTTGGGGGACGCGTGCTTAAATGGGAAGAGCTATCGGCTCGTTTGGCCACCTCAGACCTGGGCCCCGACTTGATTATTGACGCCTTGTTTGGCATGCATCTGTCCTTTGATGACCTTCGGACCGACGACCAAGGCGTGGCCTTTGAGATGATTTCGTGGATGAACCGCAGCAACGTCGATGTGCTGTCTGTGGATGTCCCGTCCGGACTCAATGCTTCTACTGGTAAGTACTTACGGAGATCAATCCGAACCGGTGTGACTAATACTGGAAAATCCACAGGCGAGGTTACTCTGGCCGAAGGTGGCCGGCTTTGCGTCAATGCCACATCCGTGGTGTGCCTCGGAGCGCCCAAGACTGGTGTGCTGAATGCTCTTTTGTCTGGCGAAAGACTGTCCTGGAATTTGGCAGTTGCCGACATCGGAATCCCTCAGATCGTCTGGAGAAAGTACGGTACCCGTCGTCGCCATGGAATTGATTTCGGAAACAAATGGGTTGTGCCATTGAAGTACCAGCCCTTGCTTTCCTAAACACAACAACCCTTTCTAATCATATGAATTACCACGATCTACATTGTCATCGGAGGCGTTTTCAATTTGCGTGACTATTCGGGCGGAGCTAGTAGCTTCGTTCACAGCGTTTGTTTTAATGATGCATGGGCTTCCAGGATCACCAGTGGGAAGGATAGCACTTGTACATGTATGATTATCTACTGGCCTTCTTCTGACCTTCGGATCAGGAAAACATGGCCCAAAAAAATCAAAATGTCAAACTCAGATATCAAATATGGAATTTTAAGCTCATACTTCCCTTGTAGAAGTCCTTCACGGGTGAATCGTCTTGCAAGACTTTGCTATACTTTATGGTAAACACCGCCTTCGTGCTGTTTTGTGTTGTTTCACCAGCCATATCCCATCAACATGTATTATTTTTCTATTTTTCTATTCTGTACTCTGTACTCCGTAGTATAGGGCAGTTATACTATTTAAATATTAGTACTATATACTACCTAGGTAGCCATAGGGAGTACCAGATCAGGTGAGGCCTCTACCCAAGCTGGGTACGAGGCCGCGGATTAGGCTGAGCATAGCGAGGATAGGGCCTATCGTACAGTGACTATTTATAAGTTTTAACACCCTTTTAGCCCCACCTATATACCGCCTACATAAGGTGAACTGGTGGACCTCATCTCTCTTGAGTTCATATCCTATGTCTGGATATTTTGATATATTTTCAGAAGACAATGCCTAGCCTTGTATAGGCAATCATTGAAAGCCAGAGATTTTGATATACAACGATAAGAAGGAAATCTTTTGACTGTTAGAATATTGTATAATCAAAGTGGGGTGTTAAAACTTATGAACAATCACTGTACTATCATTAACCTTCACTTTTTCATTATACTTCGTTGTATCAACTATTATTATATAGTATCTCGGATATCCCTATTTTCTAATTCACTAGGTCTCTCTTCTCGTATTGTCCGAAAATCTTGTGATACTCGAGTGAGCTAACTGAAGTTACCGCCTTTTTCTCCGCCTAATGATTGATATGTGATTTTCTGCACTGCAATATTATTAGCCTCTAATCTCAAAGCGGTAAGTGTCCTGCCGTCATTTCATCTCCGCGGGCTGCGCGAAAGTTGCTGAAACAGGTATCTTCAATTATGGGGAAAGGTATGTTTTGTGTGAAAGTCTGTTTGGACATATTTAGACTAACATCGTTGACTATAGGAACCGATAAGCTTTATGTATGCGACACCTTCTTTTTCTACATTCTAATACCCTCCTATCGCATCTTGAATCCCCGCTGATAATCGTATTTTTTCTAGATCACTCACTCCGAGTGGGCATCTGAAGATGCTTTCTCGGCCAGTGCTGGCGCTGGAGTTTCCAAGGCCAAAAAGGGTGGTCCCCACGCTGCGTTCAAGCGCTTACCGTTCAATTTTTGTTCTCTCTCCCTCCAGCCATTTTCACACCCGGTTTGCACGCCGACAGGAACACTATTCGACCTCACGAATATTCTCCCATGGATCAAGAAACATGGGACCAATCCCGTCGACGGAGCCCCGTTGAAGAGCTCGGACTTGATCAAGCTGACTCTCGCGAAGAACGAGGATGGCGACTACGTCGACCCGGTGACCTACAAGATTCTGACAGATAATACACACATCGTCGCATTGCGGAATACAGGGAATGTCTTTTCCTGGGATACGGTGGAGCGCCTCAACATCAAGGGAAAATTGTGGCGCGACTTGGTAACGGATGAGGAATTCAGCCGAAAAGATATTATCACCTTACAGGACCCGCAGAACATCGAGTCGCGCAACCTCAGCTCATTTAACTACATCAAGGAGGGGGAGACGGGAGTCCTGGAGGGCCAACAGACCTCTGGAAGCGTCAACACTAGTGCGCTCGGCAGCTCGGCGAAGATCCTGAAAGCGAAAGAGGCGGTTGCAAAGGCACGGTCAGAACGCGCTCAGCAGGCTGGTTCTGCTGCGGCCGGTTCGAAAGCAGTTTCGAAGACTGGAGCTACGAATACGGGATCCAAGACGCAACCGGGAAAGCCAACACCTTACAACGCTGCACGATTCACTACGGGCAAGGCGGCTGCTTCGTTCACTAGCACAGGGCTGACACCGCACACGTCTGCTGAGCTAGCAGTACTATCGGAAGAGGAGTACATGCTCAAGCGGGGTCGCGTGAAGGCCAAGGCTTACGCGCGCATCGTGACAACCGCCGGACATCTTAATTTAGAGTTATATCCCGAGCATGCGCCCAAAGCCGTGTGGAACTTCCTCCAATTGGCCAAGAAGGGCTATTACACAGATGTACCATTTCACCGCAATATCAAGGGCTTCATGCTCCAGGGTGGTGACCCAACTGGTACTGGACGAGGCGGCGAGAGTATCTGGGGCAAATACTTTGCAGATGAATTCGAGGGGCCATTGAAGCACGATGCCCGAGGCACACTGAGCATGGCCAACAAGGGCAAAAACACAAATAGTAGTCAATTGTAAGTGACCCCTTGCGATTCCCCTGGCTCAATGAGCGCTAACATGTGCTTTTAGCTTCCTCGCCTACCGAGCTCTGCCTCATCTCAACCTCAAGCACACCGTCTTTGGCCGTCTCATCGACGATCCAACTCCTTCGTCCACTACTTTGAATAAGCTAGAGATCCACCCGGTGGAATCAAACACGAACCGTCCCACTCCTGATATTCGCATCAAGGAAATCACGGTCTTCGTAGATCCCTTCGAGGATTTCCTGGCCCAGAAGCGCGCTGAAGAAGCGCGGGCCACAGGCGCCACAGGTCCTTCTGCAGAAGAGCAAGATGAAACTGCTCGCCGCGCGGAAGATGACCGTATCACTTGGACTGGGAAACGAGTCCGTGGTGCTGAGGCAGATTCAAATGACGGCGGTGCCTCAGGTGTTGGAAAGTACTTGAAGGCAGCACTGGCAGACCGGGATGGACAGGAAGAGGATGAGATTGTGGAGTTCCTAGACGAGGAGGCTGCACCTGAGCCCGCTCGTAAAAAGGCCAAGGGGCCTGGAGGCTTTGGAAACTTTAGTTCGTGGTGATAGATCTAATTCCCACATCAATTTTTTTTCTCCTTCAAATTGTGTTCTAATATGAAGATGCTTGATCATATCCTGCGATGTTGTATTATATAAATCAATTCCTTTATACATATTGGATGTTAGTGGCACATGGTAAAGATACTTCAGAACATTAGTCGGTATGACGCTCATCTACGAAGCAGCCTATATGTAAGAGCCACCATAATGTACAATCAAACAGCAGCGATCGGGGCATACAAGGAAGGGGCATAGATCTGAGAAGTTGAAGACACCCATGCAATGAAAGGAGTGAGCATAAATAAGAAGGTATTCACAAATTGTAGCAGAAAACCAAGCCATCGGTTTCCTTCGGACAAGACGACTCTAATGAGCAGCGAAACCAAGATAACCCCATAAATCCCAGTAAATGGAAAGGGTAATGCCCAGATAAAATTGACTATTCCACTCAGTATAACGTCAATCCACAGAAGCAAAGTACAGGCAGCATAAAAAACACTTGTTTTTAACATACCTTTATATGAGTCCCAGTCATCATCGGGGCTTTCGGGATCAATTGAGTCTTCGTCCATTGACAAAGGGTATCAAAGGGCGTGTTTTTTTTAGCTTTGCATAATGTTTGGTTGTAATTATTCTCCAAGGCTGTCGTGGAACCGTATAGGGCATGAAAGAACATGTTCGTTTATCGAAGTATTGCATCCCTGTAGTAAGCGGAGCTGCGAGTAACACGACAGCCACAACCTGACCAAATTTTCAATCGCGTACAAGACTTCCTGGCGGACGGAGGTTAACTTGTACACGCAATATACCCTAGGTGAAAGCAATCATTAAAGGGGGGCTGAAACCCCGGGCGTTCACATGGTAGGGTTAGGCGTAGAACATGATAGGTCCACGAGTGTAGTCGAGATATTAAGGAAAACCAGGGTGATCTGTAAAAAATGATTGTAAATCAGGATGAGAACTTATTCCTTGGTATAGTGTAAGATAGAGGTGAAGCTTGACTTTCAAGGTTTGATATCTTAAGGTTAAAGTTTCTAGTAGTCTATATCAATGAGCCGCATGCTATAACTATAACGATGCATAAGTACCTATGGAGAAACCTAGGAATTATTATGATATATCATATTGATTTTCCCTTTCCAGTTTAGTGCTCACCCTTGTACTTTTGATATTAGCCTTTATTTTGGATATTTTCCCCTATCTTCTCCAAGTTCAACTACACAATCTATCCAACTCACTTTTCTTTTCATAAATATGAAACCACGCATGTACTACGATGATGCCGCTTGGGAGAAAAGTGAAGAGATCTCTGAAGCCTGGATAGCCCAATTTCTCGACGTTGGTATTTTACGACATCTCGGACGTTTCCTGGTCAGACATCACGAACCCGACAAACCGGATTCATTTGATTTTCTGGAAAAAGGAGCTTACAATATCTCTTTTCAAATGTCATACAAAAATACTAGCTCTGCTATCATACGTCTCCCACAGCCTGGTGCCACTATGTTTCCCGAAGAAAAGGTCCGCAATGAGGTCGCTACAATGCGATACATTCTTGACCGGACTTCAATCCCAGTTCCTTTTGTCCTTCATTGGGGTACTCGAAAGGATGGACCTGTAGACCTAGAGTTGGGGCCGTTCATAATCATGGAATACATGGATCACCATACGAATATGTACGATGTCCTTAACATGCCAGGTCGCCCAAAAGCATCCCGTGGTATACTTGGCCGGGATTTTGACGAAGATAAACTAGAGGGGCTATACGGAGAGCTCGCAAATATTCTGCTTCAGCTTTCTCAGCCTTCACTTTCTCGTATAGGTTCACTTAGCCAGATTGATGATTTCAACTGGGAAGTGGCATACCGACCTCTTTCGATGCCTCTGAATGAACTTATTCGAGTAGGATTGCTGCCCCAAGAGGGTTTACCAGGCCTGGACACTACATTCGATACAGCGTCGTCATACTTCGAGAGTTTAGCGGAGCTGCATATTGTACATCGTATGAACCAAAGAAACGACGCCGTTGACTCAGCCGATGACTGTCGACGAAAGTTCGTCGCTAGATGTCTTTTCCGAAAACTCGCCCGAGAAAAAAAACTTATAGAACGATGGGCATCTTTTGAAAATGGGCCGTTTAACCTCTGGTGCGACGATTTGCGACCAGGGAATGTCCTTCTCAACAAGGAATCAAAAATTGCGGCAGTCGTGGACTGGGAGTTCACGTACGCTGCCCCCGTTGAATTCTCCTACGCACCACCTTGGTGGCTTCTTATTGAAAAGCCTGAGTACTGGCCCACAGAAGGCGGTCTTGATGACTGGTGTATAGGGTTTAAGTATCGACTCGAGACATTCCTAAAGGCTATGATCAATCGCGAGGACGAAGCGATCAGGAAGCGTCAACTGAACGAAAACCAAAGGCTTTCTGGCCCGATGCGAGAGAGCTGGGTGAGTGGGGATTTCTGGATTGCGTATGCCGCGAGGAACAATTTAGCATTCGATGCGATATACTGGCAAAAGATTGATGGGCGATTTTTCGGACCAACTAGGTTTTCTGACCCCGCCGATGCATGGAAGGAGAGACTTGAGCATTTGAATGCCGAGGAGAGATGTGATATGGAACAGCTTGTTGTCCAGAAACTAGAGGAGATGAAGAGTAGAGTATTAGTATGGGATCCGGATGAATATACACTAGGTCATATAGATATCGCTAAGAAGGCGGGGGAAGAAAGCAAGACCAAGCAGGGGACGGCTGATGAAGTGAGAACCCTGTTCATATTGAAGTAGATGAGGCAGATATGTCTACAGTGTTTGCGAGGTTAGTTGTTTGATCCATGTATATATGTCGTATGTCGTATGTCGTATATGGCATATGTGAAAGTGGCAGATAAGCAGAAACAGGATCATAGCGTCATCGACCAAATGCGGAGAGTGAGAAGATGTGTATTGCGACAGTTCGCAATTGAAATCATATACACTTCAATATTCTTATATGAAACCAATTATAAATGCAATATATATGCAATACCCCATATATTAGATATAAGATTTCCACCCCGACAGTCTTGGCTCTCTCCGCCCAGTGCCGCATGAGCCGTCAGCGGAAGGTGATTTGGGTGATTTGGGTGATTTTCCTCTTTGACCTTCTTTCACCTTTCATCTTTCACCTTTACTCACAATCCCATTCTATCAATCTTCAGTAAGTCTGTTCCTTTTATCTATCACGTTCAATACCGATTTCCCCTATCTGTTGCCTGGTTGGAAAGTGTTCAGACTCAGATACGCTATAAGCTATACATGACCAATGGTGCAAATGTGCATTGTACCTGTTCGGAGGATTGATGGGTTTCATATATTCGAATTGCTCTGATTGGTCTTCTTTTATTAATTGTGTTTCATGTTTCATGTCTTGGAAGAGAGATCGCTTCCCCTCGTGATCCTACTATGCGCCCCCCCCCCCCCATTGCTCTGTGCCGCTCACTGCCTAAACCATCTTCCTCCTGTACTTCCTCTTGCTTATCTCTCATTTCAGGCACCATTTCGCCTACAAATACTCATCGCTGATTTGTTCAGCACTTACAGCCTAATTCCTTCTATTTCCGTCTCGACCGACTGAACCCCTACGTCAGCCTCACAGCGCCCCCCTCCGTGTTCGCCCCGCCCATCACTAAACCATCGCCCCGATACACCAATTCCTCTTGAAGGGATACAATCAAGCTGGCAGGAAATAAGCGCCGCAGTTTTTCTTCGCAGGGTGGGTTACTGAGCAGAATGTTCAGTGGCTCCTCGAGCCCACCCAAAGACAGAGTGGACACTCTCCCAGAGGCTGGCCTCGACCCCAACTCTTTGACCCTCCAAACCGATACAATCGGCACCAGTCCACGTGAGAAGAGGTTCTCTCCACCTAGCGCTGGATTTTTCAACCGTCGACAAAGTGAAGAACAGGGTACCGCCGGCGAGAAGAAGCGCAGGAGTAGTACCGTCACCAAAGCGGCCAACTTCTTCAGTAACGCCAAAAGCTCCCTGAGCTTGAACGGCCGGGATAGCTCTGCGATTAGCACCAGTCCCTCGATCGCGGAAAGCCCGCTACACAAGCTTGGAAAGATGGACCCAGCTCTCAGCGTCCCTCAAGGGTCGTTCAATAACTCCGCCGGTGAATCCGCACCGACTGCTCGGTCATCCTTCCGCGTTGGTGTCACGGAAGACCGGAATCGCAAGTGTCGCCGGACAATGGAGGATACACATGCCTATCTCTACAATTTCCTAGGCACCCCTTCCCCGGCTGCACTAGAGTTAAATGGTGCTATTTCACCGAAGGGCAGCCCGTCGCAGTCATCAGAGGATTCATCTACCGTTGTAGAAACAGACAATGGCTATTTCGCAATTTTCGACGGGCATGCTGGCACCTTTGCCGCAGAGTGGTGTGGAAAGAAGTTGCATTTGATTCTCGAGGAAGTCATGCGCAGAAGCCCAACTACTCCTGTCCCGGAACTCCTCGATCAGACTTTTACCAGTGTGGATCAGCAGTTGGAGAAATTGCCCGTCAAGAACTCTGGGTGTACAGCCGTCACAGCCGTGCTTCGATGGGAAGATCGTGTACCCAACTCACAGTCGGCCACCGGTTCTTCTGCCCTTGGCCCGGCAGCTGCCGCGGCGACGAAAGCGGACGCGAATTCGGAGAATATTGAAACCCCGACTCAAGCTACCGCGGGCGCCTCTGCTGTCCTGCCGAAATTGCAGGACAAGGCTATTCGGCAACGGGTTTTGTACACAGCCAACGTTGGTGATGCACGCATTGTATTATGTCGTAATGGGAAAGCACTCCGTTTGTCCTATGACCATAAGGGTAGCGATGAGAATGAAGGGAGGAGAGTTGCCAACGCTGGTGGGCTAATCCTGAACAACCGCGTGAATGGAGTTCTTGCCGTCACCCGTGCCTTGGGCGATGCATACTTGAAAGACCTTGTAACTGGACATCCCTACACAACAGAGACAGTCATTCAGCCAGATGCTGATGAGTTTATCATCTTGGCCTGCGATGGTGTAAGTTTGAGATCTATTCAATATTGATGATACAAGAAAACTAATTATACTCTAATAGCTGTGGGATGTCTGCAGTGATCAGGAATCTGTCGATCTAATCCGAAACGTTCAAGATGCCCAACATGCCTCAAAGATTCTCGTTGACCATGCACTTGCACGGTTCAGCACCGACAACCTATCTTGCATGGTGATTCGCCTTGACTCCAACCGTGTGAAGGACCTTATCAACAATCATACGGAACTGATAGGAGTTGATGGGGATCCGCATACCAAGGTGGCCGGGGGCGTGAGTGAGGCCGATAAGATTGTCGAGAGAGCACAGAAGAGCATTGTCTCTTCCGGTCTTGCAGATAATCCGGTCGCAGCAGAGAAGGCCAATGAAGAGACTCTTCAGAAAATGGCCAGCAGCAATCACAAACAAGAACCCGGGCCTGGGATGTCAATTAAAGAAAGTAAAGACCTCCCCTCTGTGGACATTCTGAGTCCGAATAGGAGCCCAGACAACCCGTCCGGCTCGACTCAGTGATTTTACGACATGTTATGAAGCCGAATCACCATTCTGAAGCTGTGAAAACGAATTGATAGAACGTGTCTATTTCTTTCTTTTCGTCTACTATCTACCTCTGGTGCTTCTGGGAGCAATGTACCCAACCCGGAATATCTTCTGGAGTTTCCCTTTCTGTCGCTTACTTATTACATTGCACATTGGCGTCAATGGTGCACACTGATTGCCCATTGTCTTTATTTTTCAACCTTTTGTTTATTACGAGATCAGACTTGGTGGTCTTGATGTCTTTTGTTAGCATAACTCTTTCTATTATTAGGATATTTGTCCTGAATTTGGCCTCTATGAGATTAGGCTCTTTTGTTGTTTTTCGTCCAATTATTGTTTAAACCGAAGACATGGTATGTATCCGTCTCTTGTATTCGCTGCTGCTATAGGGTGATTATGATCAGTGATGATGATGCGATTGGGCATGGTTTACTGTCTTAAAATAAACAGTCGCTTTTTGTTTGCTATGAACACAGTCAAGATCTTGGTTTAGAACATCGTAATGGTCATTGAAGCCTTTTATGTTTTATATCCTTCTCTACACTGTCTCCGCCTAGAGATGAAGATGATACCGAAAAGAGACTTAAGAATTCGCACCTAAGGAAGACCCTAGAAAAGATGTCAAAAAAAGAGACCATTTAGGGATGGCCGTACCTTCTTGTGATTTGATATATCTAAAAGTACAATTTATGAATGCTAGGATAAGCTAGACAGAAAGACAAGAGAGAAAATACAAAAAGCACCAACCATCAGGCTAAAGCCAGAGGGAAGTGGATATCAACACACCCAAAACGTCCCGTCTTGCTCTAGAATGAGCAACAGACAGAAGAGAAGAAGAACCTCAATGACGCCAAACGTCTACGCCTGCTCAAACGAACCATCGGCGATAATGTCCTCGCTAGGAACCGGGAGGTCCTCCTGGCCAATCATGTGGTTTCGAGTCCAGCGCAGCTGACCGTGCTCAATGTAATCCGGCCAGTGCTTCGCGAACTGTGCATCGTATGTATCCTGCCACAAGATCTTGACAGTCTGCTCCTTAGGAGCACTGTGATCCGTACTAATCTCAACCTGCAGCTGCTCCTCGAGCGATGCAACCTCGCCCGCACGTGCCTTAGCCTGCTCAGCCTCCTGCAGGAGAGCCGCACGCCTGCGCCGACGGGCCTTGAGAGTCTTGTATCCAGACTTGGAGCTCTCCGGCACACCCTCCACGATGTGGTCCCTGTGCTTCTGCAGAACGAAAGCAATGTCGGCAATCGCAGTGGCCTTCTGGTTCATGAGGGCGTAAGCACGCTCCTTCTTCATCATGATCTGGCCCACTCTCCCCATGTTCTCCTTGTCCCATTGCTTCTGGTCTCGTAGGTCTACCGGTCGCTTCGAGTCAAGGTATTCTTTTGTCACGGTGATCATTTCCTTGGGCGGGGAGAGCTGGCGCAGCAGCGCGAATTGCCGCAGGTGGTTATAGACGTTCAGTCCGACTTGCGCCTCGTTGAAGTGCACGGAAAAGTATGGAACCCACATATCCTTACGGATTGTGGCGGGAATGGTCTTCTTGCCGTGGTTGACACATTGCTTGATGAGGTTGGTTTTCTAGAGGTCCGACAAATTAGAAAATTGCGATATGATGGGCTGGAAGAATACGGCAGCAAGGGGAGATTTGCTAGAGGCCGGAGCTCCCAGAACCCTCACTGGCAGAGGAAAAGAAACTTACCTCCAGATAGCGAGTCAATGAGTACACGACCTGTTTCGTGCGGATGTTGTTGTACACGAAGATGTTCTTGCCGTGGGTGACAGAGTTCAAGGCCTTCTGTAACCGTCGACCTTCCTTCTCCTGGTGCTCTTTGAATGCATTTGAGCCCGGTACTCGGGGCTTCCCTTGAATTGGTGTTTTCGGATCAATCGGTGGCCTGCGGATGAATTTCGTGGCCGCAAGTGCTGTTGAATCCAGCACTTTCTGGAAAGACTTTGCGTTGGAGGCCATTTCGGCCGGACCGAGGCTGCGTACAGTCGATCTGAGAAGGATTGGGGTAGTAAGAGGTGCGAGTTTATTGCATTGGTGGGAGGCGCCAGACGGTGTTGATCAAGAGAGACGGGAGGTCGATTTTTTGACGGGGAACGCTGAGGTCTTGGCGCTTGCTCTCCGCATCATCTCTTATCAGCTCACTACTCTCTCTTTCGTCAATTCAATTGCTTCCAACTGCGCTTTGCCTATTTTCTATTTTCTTTAATATGAGCGACTTGATATATTTGCGACGCAATACTTAACCACCGCGCTCTCCCGCCGCGCTGGCGTTATGGATAAGGACACGGAGCATGATATAGGTGCCCGCAGAGAGAGGCCATGGCTCTATGCATGGGTATGTATAGAAAATGAAAGAGAACGTGATGTTGCTAGATGCTGACAAGTTATTAGAACCGCAGGCTTCGGCATCTCCAGGGAATTTCTATACGAAACTTGGTTGTGACGCCTCCCCCGACTCGAGCTCGCGGCAAGACTATTGATGACGACGATATCCCTAATGCCTTAAAGACACCCTCGAAGATCCTATCGCAGAGCGACAATCACACCTTGCACCCTTCGCGATCCTTCACTGATCTCAAGTCTCATTCGAGTCAACATAACAATGCAAACGAGCCTGTGATGCGTTCGTCGCGTCGCAGAAGTACTATGTTCTGGAACGACCCCAATCCTCGAACTCGGCAGGTCAAACTAGAAGATATCACAAACAGCCGCATGGCGGATACATTTTTCACACTTCATTGCGATGGTCTTGACGAGCCGGTGTATATTAGCGAAACGGTGGACCGTGCAAACAATCCGAGTTTCCGATCTTTCGACTTGAATCTATGTGGCCCATATGTTTCTCGAATGGATGAGTTGACTTTGAGGGTCTGGACAAAGACTGCCGATATGTCCGAGTTTATTCTACTAGTTGAACTACATCTGCATTTGCGATCACTGCAATTCCTGGGGAAGACATTGGAGAGCTTCCACCAACCACTTCCTGCGAACTCGATCCTTTTTCACTTCCCAGACGGTGTGTATTCCAACCTCACTGACCTTCCGCCGGTCGAAACATCTCTCCAAACTGCAGGACAGAAAGCCACTGCAGATGGTACCGCGTTGCCGTCCTCGTCGTATGACGCGTTGATGAAATTGGCCAATTTAGACGAATGTGTACAGGACGCATTGGCTACCAGAGAAAAGTTGGAAGCTCAGATTAGCTTAATTCTACGGCAGAACGAGCACTCACTAAATGTAGCAAGCGATGCAGCTGCAGCACAGGAAAAGCTTGTTCTTACCAAGCAGTATGTCGCCATGGAGCGCAAACGCGTCCGCACTGCAGTCAGGCGAAAAGAGGAGCTCATTGCCAGTATCAAAGCTCGGAAAGAAGCGATGGAACAAGGCCGCAGTGCTCAGGAAAAGACACGCAGTCATCTTCCCGAGGCTCAGGAGAGGTTAGTTTCCAGCGAGAAATTGCTTGAGCAAAACGAGGAGGATACCAAAGGTCAGCTCCGACGTATCGCTGAAGATCTTCTCACGATCTACCCTATTGAACCCATCCCGGATACACCCCTGGCATTTACCATCGCTGGGCTAGCCCTCCCAAACTCGGCCTTCGAAGATATCGACCGTGAGGTAGTCGCAGCGGCATTGGGACACACAGCTCACTTGGTCTATCTGCTCTCATTCTATCTGTCGGTGCATCTCCCATACTCGATCAACGCGAACGGGTCAACTTCGTTCATACAGGACCCCATCTCTGCCTCACTCCCACAACGCACCTACCCCCTCTATCCGGTGAGTGTCCAGTACCGGTTCGAGTACGCGGTCTTTCTCCTTAACAAAGATATCGAGTACATCCTCATCAAACAAGGATTGCGCGTCTTGGATATCCGACACACCCTTCCCAACCTCAAGTACCTCCTTTACGTTCTTACTTCTGGCGACTCGGTGATTCCCGCCCGTAAAGCTGGTGGTGTTCGAGCTCTTGTTGCCGGGCGGTCTACTCCTAATCTATCACGGCGTGGTAGCGTGGACAGTGGTGCATCTGGTGAGCTGGTGCAGCCACACAAAGCTTGGGAGTCAATGTCCCGGATGAACGTCAACCTCGCCACACACAGGGTGAAATAGTCATGGTCCTTGCCGAGAAGAGTTCTTTTTTTTTCGTTTCTTTCCCTAATAAAGATGATTTGCAGAAGGTTGAATATGCCGTTTAAGTGAACATTGGCACCGATTTTGGACTGTGACATTTCCCTTGTTTCTTGTTTTTTTGTTCTTTCTCGGTTTCAGAGACGTTGTACATTTACATCATGAACATCGGAGTTGATTTTTGACATTTCTTTGTAATCATCATAATTATCATAAAATCTATGTACTTTGGTAATGAAATGTACATGCATATAGTGTTGATATATATATCCCTAGATTCCTTGTCTTACCCCGCAGAGTTCTTATTATACAATGTAAACTACCTGGTCCAGTGACTGGGAGAAAACTCTGACATCAATTGATATTTGGCCGAGAGATATCCTTTGACAATTACAAGGGCAATCACAATTCCAATCTCATCTATTGTCTCTATTCTATTCGATTGTGCTTTTGTCCGAGTCGTCGGAGTAAGAACACCCCCACCGCCTTTCAAGGCTGATCTCGCTTTCCATCGCTTTGTGTCGGGAATTTCCCCATTGTTATCCAACGAAATGGGAGACAATAGTAATCTGTACAGCAAGGCGGAGTCTGATGCACACCATCGCCGAGGATACCAGGCCTGTGATCCATGTCGCAAACGCAAGGTCAAGTGTGACCTAGGAAGTATGGGCCCATTTCCTCCCACTATTCCGTGGCTTGACTGATCACCAAAAAAAAATGAAGGTGTCGATAACCCTCGCCCCCCACCCTGTGTTCGATGTCGTCGCGAAAGTAAACGATGTGAATTTTCAGCAACTCGCCGAAAGCGCAAGACCTCCGATGCCGAGGAAGATGAAGTGGAAGCCGCGGCGATCCTCCATCGCGACAAGCGAATGATGATTGGGGAGGTGGCCAAGAATGAAAGTCCAGTTGAAGGCCCGCCATTTGCGCCCTCCGATCCACCTCAGTTCGGCCATGAAGCTGTGCTTGCCCAACAGAGATGGTCCGAGACACCTGCACCTCATGCGCCTCATGCGCCTCCAGCACCCCCAGCACCTCCAGCCCCGCGTTACACGCCCAGTGTGCCAACAACACGAGCTCCCACATATCCCGTCAGCGAACGCCCCGCGCCACCTAGCTATGGAGGACCTCCGATGATGAACCGCACTGCGGTGGAGTTGCTGTCGCCTGCAATTACAAACACCCACGACGCTTTGCATCTTCTCTCTGAAGCTGCGGGTAGAACAGAGGATCTCAACCGCCAGAGTCTCGAGAATCGGCTTGCTGCACGGCAGTCTGTCTCGTCTTTCAACTCTGGGCCTTCACCTCTACCTCAAGGCAGCTCGCCTCGGAGCTTGGGTGGGTCCTTTGTGCGGACACCTCGATCAGGAATGTCTATGGGCGGGTCTACATACTACCCGGCTGGTGCTTCAGGGCCAGTAGATCCCCACATCGCCGATCCCGGCCCCCAAAGGGAAAGCCCAGTCAACAATCCTCCCCCAGAGCCGAATTATCTTGACGCAATCCGAGCTTGGTCGCGACTACGATTCGTCCGTGCCGGCTGGCTTACAGTGGAGGAGGGCATGGACTATGTGGAGTATTACTACGAACACCTCGCGCCGATGAGCCCTGTTGTAATCCCCGACTTTTCTCATCCCTCTACGCACCGCACATTGCTTACCGATGAGCCGGTGTTGGCGGTTACAATCCTCACTATCGCGTCTAGACACCTGAAACCCAAGGGCGAGGGTGCTAATACGCGGGCGTTCTATATTCACGACCGTCTCTGGGCATATCTACGCAGCATGATAGAACGCCTATTCTGGGGCCAAGAGAAATTCGACGCTGGGACATCGGGCATTGGCCGACCTCGATCGCTTGACTTGAGTTCATCAATGTCAGGCAAAGGTAGTGTGGGTGGGCAATTGAGGTCGTTGGGCACTGTAGAAGCTATGCTACTTCTTACAGAGTGGCACCCGCGAAACCTCCACTTTCCACCGGGTGACGATGAAAATTCTCTTTTGGATACAGATCCCCAGACATACAGTCGGGCCGATAACCCCTTGGATAACGACGGCGAGCCTACTAGCAAAGGCTCAGAGGGAAGGGTCGCATTTCAGAAATGGCTGGAACCGGCCTGGCGATCCGACCGGATGTCATGGATGCTACTGAGTACGGCGCAAGCTCTGGCTTTTGAACTTGGCGTTTTCGACCCTAAAGGAGATGCCAAGGTGGCCAATGAGCCGCTATCCGAGCAAACACGGAAACGTCGACTGCGGCGTTTGATCCTGGTGTTTATTACGCATAGCAGTGGACGTCTAGGGATTCCATCTATGCTCCCATTGCCTCAATGGGGGCAGGATATTACGCCGACGTCTGCTGATGCGAAGGATGCTGATGCCAATCTTGATCGGATGCAGGATTGCTGGATCAGCATTTCGAAAATTGTCTATCAGGCCAATCATTTGTTGTTTGCATCCAGCGATCAGACTATGGATTTGATCAGGAGTGGAAGATATCGTGAGCAGATCGACCGCTTCCAACCTTATCTACGAGAGTTCCAGCAGCAGCTGGACAGTGTTAATCGTAAGTCAACTGCTCGTTGGTTGTGGATAGGAAAGCTAACAGAATGAAGTTTCGCCGGCTATGCGGAGCGTTTTGCTGATTGAGCTTGAGTACACCCGTAAGTCGACACAGCTTGATTAGTTGAAGGATAATTGCTAATATGTGGAATCAGGTCTCTATATCAACTCCCTCGCTCTACAAGCGGTTGTCGATCGATGGACTACCATGTCCAATGAGTCCGCTCAGAGTCAAAACCAGAACCAGAATGGCCAACCAGGACCGGGGCCGTCTAATAGCAGCAACAGCTGGTTCCAAACGTTGAATGAGCTCTACCGTGTCAATGAGCATTATATCCAGCAAGTCATTGATTCCTCACGCAAAATTCTGCAGACTGTATTGGATGGCCTCGTCCCCGAAGGTCGTCTCAGACACGCACCTATTCGAACGTTTTTCCGAATCTTGTCTGGAATGATATTCATCTTGAAGGTATGGTCCCTGGCGGAAAACCCGGCAAACATAATACTAATTTCAACTATAGACTTTCACATTGGGTGCTAGAGAAGACGATGTGCGAGTCTCCCTAGACCTGCAGGACCGGACGGTAGAGGCACTGCGTAATTATGTCGTGGATGACGTGCACCTTAGCAACACGGTAGCCCGGCTTCTTGAGCTTCTCACTAGCAGCATTCGGACGCGCTTTCTGCGCTTTGCACCGCATGACAGGGGCGCAGACGGAGAGGGACCTGATCGCACCTCGGTCCCAGACTCGGGGCCTCATTCACCATCGCGTGAGCACTCAACAACTCGTCGTGATGGCCCGAGTACACCATGGCCCGCTAACCAGGGTCATGATACAACGTCAGGCGGGTCGGGCCTAGGATATGTGGACACTCCTGGCTCCGGCCACCCGATGGTGTCAGGGCATGATCCACTGGCGAACATCCCTGCCCAGCCGATCAACTCATCCAACCTCAATGTATCCTTCATGCCGCCTCCGCCGTCCGTGTACCACAACTACTACGAGTCCAACTCGACATTCCCTGCCAATGATATGGACAGATCATCGCCAAATCAGGTCGCGTCATCACAGACCATGGGCGACAGCCACCATTCTACCTCCGGCGCGCTTCCGGACTGGTTTGCTCTACCTCTTGATCAATTCTTCAACAGCTCCACAGGAGTTGTTGACCAGGGTCTGGGTGGGACTGGACCCATGCTTGGCGAGTTCGACATGCTCGAGGTACTCCTCAATGAGGGGTATGATGGGAACACTAACGGCGAGGGTGAGACTGGGGCCGGGCTATCGTCCCAGTATCTGTGACGAAAATAATGATGATTACGAATAATTTGGTGGTATCCCTTTTTTATGTCTTACGCTTTGATCTCGGAGTCTTTTTGGAGTCTAGCTTATGATCTGTACCTTTTTTCTTTGAATTATATACCCCTGTGGGATCCGCTCGGCCACTCTTATTCGACATCATTTGTAGTTTGCTTGATACTGATTTCTTGATTACTCGATTGCCTGACAAGTCTGTCGATGGTGTTATCATCGCAGCTCATTGTCTAGGTCCTACTCCACATTGCGAGTCAGCATTCATATTGCGAATCACTATAACTATCCGGCGGTGTCCGTCGGGATATTAGATTGCGGGGGTCTCTAGTTTCATGAAGAAAGTAAGTCCTGTTGACCTTGCTTTCACATGGTACTTTATTAGTCTCTTGGACCGCGGAGGTTAAAGCTTTCGGGTGGCTGGTGGCTTTGGCTCTAGAATAGCCCTGACGATGTGTGAATAATTTAAATATAGTACCTACGGTGGAGTAGATAAAGACTATTGCCGTATTTGGTTACTGTGTCTGAGTTGTAGTTTATCCCATATGAAGCGATTATGAGAGAGTCACTTTACTGTACGGAGTACTCTGTACAAGGTAAGCCACAATGCCATTGATGGCTTGCACGGCACTTAATCCTCTCCCAATTAACGTCTGCTGTTTTTCGCTGCCGATCCTCACGATGAACTGATCGCCACATCGACGGCCGCTAGATCCTTCGATTTCTTCGGCGCAGGCGATAAGAGCGGCTGTTATTTGGTCGTTTTCCGTGAGGGGTCACATCGTCTGACATCGCGAACTCGACGTTAATGTTCTTGCAGGGGATGATTGGTAGAACATGCAATGCAGGGACGGATCCCCGTCGGAGATTGTACCTGTTGCTCGTTTTTTGTTGAGAGCTAGCAGAGCTAGAATCCCGGAGACAACCCTTCTAGACACAAGCTTAAACCCAAAATGTTCATCCACCGAATGTCTCATCCAATGAGGCCCCTAAATTGCGCCAATGGAGCGATGTGACCTTGTTTTGCGCCTTGGAGTCGATGATTGGCCAACGTGGAGATAACGGGTGATGATCGTCAGGGCGCTTGCTAGTGTCTCAATGGTCTACAACAATCCAAACAATCACTTCATGCAGCGTGACTACTCCGGAGTATGTCAAAAAGTAATCTATTACACTCTGCTCCGTACTCGCTATCTCGTTTAACCCAATGGTAATCTATTGTTCTCTTGCACAAGGATTGCCAATTATGGCGATCGACCAGTCTTCACCCAATGAGTACCACGATGCAGTCTTCCAAGACAACGCCTTGTCTTGGCCGGAGTTCTCCGTTTTTTCTAGATAGCTTGTCACGACCAAGCTCCCTGGGCGTCTTGCTTGTATCGCATTGCATACTCCGTACATCTCCTACCTCCCCGTGCGCTGGCCGCGCTAGTCCTTTCACGTCCATTTGATATAATCTAGCTTTTTGAGATCCTGCCACCATGTCCCTTTTGGCTAAACCCCTCAATCGCCTGCTTAGCGGACTCCGTCGCGCTATCTTGGATGGCCGATGGCTTCCGTGACGATCTCCAAGTTTCCCCTCGACTTGACTGCATTCTGCTAGATCGTCATGTTTCCTTCCCAGAAGAGTAGTACCACCTTCTCCTGGATGTTGCGATAGTCAGCCCTGTTGATGTCTTCTACTCTCGGGCGCCGGCGGAATGGCTTCTATCAAAAAACCTATAAAGGAGGCCTTCCCTCAAGCTGTTTATGGAGTTCATCCTCTCCAGCATCGGCTTCAATCCCATTAGATCTATCTATCCTTCTATACAACCGACATCATGGTTGTCTTTAGCAAAGTTACCGCTGCTCTCACTTGCTTCTCGGTCGCTGCCTCCGCTGCGGCTGTGCCCGTCAAGAGCCCCCGTCAGGGCTTCACTGTGAGCCAGGTGCAGAAGACTACTACCGGCACCAAGACTGTCAACTTGCCCGGTCTGTACGCCAATGCACTGTCCAAGTATGGTGCTACTGTGCCAGCTGTGGTTCACGCTGCTGCCGTGAGCGGTTCTGCCATTACCACCCCCGACGGTGACGATGTTGAGTACCTCACGCCCGTCAAGATTGGCGACTCCACCTTGAACTTGGACTTCGACACTGGTTCTGCCGATCTGTAAGTTGATTTGAGATCAAATGTCCGGCTAGAGCAGCAACTGACATTTCATATAGCTGGGTCTTCTCCTCCGAGCTCAGCGCTTCAGAGCAGAAGGGTCACGACGTCTACAAGGTTGGTAGCACCGGTACTAAGCTGTCCGGTTATAGCTGGTCTATTTCATACGGTGATGGTAGCAGTGCTAGTGGTGATGTCTACAAGGACACTGTCACCGTTGGTGGAGTGACGGCCACTAGCCAAGCTGTTGAGGCTGCCAAGACAATCAGTGAGGAGTTCTTGGAGGACACCAACAACGATGGCCTGCTGGGTCTGGCTTTCAGCTCCATCAACACAGTCAGCCCCAGGTCTCAGACTACCTTCTTCGACACCGTCAAGTCCAGCCTCGACAAGCCCCTGTTCGCTGTGACTCTCAAGCACGGTGCCCCTGGTACCTACGATTTCGGCTTCATTGACGAGGATAAGTTCACCGGAGATCTTGCCTACGCCGATGTTGACGACTCCGATGGATTCTGGTCCTTCACTGCCGACAGCTACAAGATTGGCTCCGGTTCTGCTGGCGGCTCTATCACTGGTATTGCTGGTGAGTTACATCTTTCCCTTGGATCTCCATGTCTTGTTCAGCACTGATCTTTTTGAATCATAGATACTGGTACCACCCTTCTCCTGCTCCCCGACTCTGTTGTCACCGCCTACTACCGAAAGGTTACCGGTGCCAAGAACAGCAACTCTGCTGGTGGCTATGTCTTCCCTTGCTCTGCCAGTCTGCCTGACTTCACTGTGACCATCGATGGCTACGACGCCGTTGTTCCCGGATCGTTCATCAACTACGCCCCCGTCAGCACTGGCAGCTCCTCCTGCTTCGGTGGTATCCAGAGCAACTCTGGCCTTGGCTTCTCCATCTTCGGTGATATCTTCCTCAAGAGCCAGTACGTCGTTTTCGACTCTGAGGGACCTCGTCTTGGCTTCGCCGCCCAGGCATAAATCTCTCAACGAGATGCTACCCATGGGAAATTAGTGTTTCCTATTTCGTGATGAATCTTGTACAGACAGTGAAGAGTGATGTGATACATGGATGATGGGTATGTTGGATTTCGATCAGCGAGTCAACATTGTGAATATTGGCCCTTGACCTAGCTGAGCTTATACATATCAATATAATGGACATGCATATATTGTTGACATTGTGAGATATGAAGGAGTAGAACTTTAGGCCTCAAATAGCCAGAGGAGAGGAGAGAATAGGGGAGAACAGTAGTGTGACGATTAGCGCTAGGAATTTGTGGAGGAGCCAATGCCGAACCTTGAAATGGGCGGAGCATCCCTCTAGATTTCCACCTTAATCCTTCAATGTTCTTGTTTTGTACACTGTCTCCTTTCTTTAACATCTTCACTTTTTTCTCATAGCGTGGGACAAAATAGAAAAATATTTCTCGTCTCGTGCCTTTCAAATCTCACACCGCCGTCGCCATTCCTCCAATTCCCGCCTCCCGACATTAATCGCCCCCCGATCCTCGGACTCGCAACGTTTGTACGCGATTAAAGTCAAGAATGGAAGTCTAAACAGTGAAAGGTCTTGTGACACAGGCGCACTGGTGGAAATCGTGCGGTATATGAACTGTTCTAGGGACGGCGATTCAAGGCTGTTCACATCGAGTCCGATCATGGAAAATGACTTCCACTTGCTTCCCCGCCAGATCTGGGCGAATCCAACACCGACTTCGACGAAGACTTATTCACCCGGTTGTACGCCTGTCGTCTTGCCCAGTAATGGTATGTGGTCTCCTCCTTTCCTCGAGATCTTGGTCGTCGGGCCGCAGGCTGCAGGCCGCCGGTCGCAGACTTGGTGTCGCCCCCTCCTACAACCGTGTCTAATTCCAAGTTGCCAATCTTTTAATAGGACTCGTATATCTCAACAAGTCATATGCCATTACCCTCAGTGCAAACGCCATCTTCGAGCCTACCTGCACAGGCTCCTCAACTGACGAAGTTCACATCTCCGCCGTCCTCGATACCCGCGATCCATTCTATTCCTCCATTACCCCACAACTATATGCTATCGGCTGTGCGACTGTCGTTAGCTATCTCCTCGTCATCATCCTTCTCATCACACCGCGCACATTCTATGTCGGTGGGCCCGGCGGCGGCGCCAACTTCCTCGGCCGCCATGGAATGATCAGCGGCTCATATAGCGGGAACTCGTCGGTTGTCGGAGTCGGTGGACGACCATGGCTACAGAAAGTGGCTGCGATCTTGGTTGCCATCTCGCTGACTATCGCCACGGTCGATTCCTTCCGAGTCGCTGAGCGGCAGTATGACTATGGGTTCTCCGATGCTGAGGCGCTTTCCCAGGAGGTCATTGACGGAATGGAAATTCGCATCGTGCGCGTTATATCGAGCACATTTCTGTGGCTTGCGCAGGTTCAGACGTTGATTCGATTGTTTCCGCGACATAAGGAAAAAGTTATGATCAAATGGGCTGGGTTTGCGTTGATTGTGCTGGATACGACTTTCAGTATCATGGATAATTTTTGGGCGAGGAACTCTCCGACGCGACCCAGGCTATACGAGGATGCCATTCCTGCTTTGAGTTACTTGTTCGAGTTGTCACTCAATCTTCTCTATGCCGCTTGGGTGATTTTCTACTCGATATCTAAGCATCGATACGCGTTTTTCCACCCCAAAATGCGGAATATTTGTTTAGTGGCTCTTCTCTCGCTATGCGCCATTTTGATACCCGTCGTCTTCTTTGTTATGGATATTGCCAAGCCGGAGATTGCTGGTTGGGGTACCTATATTCGATGGGTTGGTTCTGCCGCGGCCAGTGTGGTGGTTTGGGAGTGGGTGGAACGCATTGAAGCGCTGGAACGAGATGAAACCAAAGACGGGATTCTTGGGCGAGAAGTTTTCGACGGCGATGAAATGCTTGAAGTCACTCCGTCTGAGGAAGTTGACTGGCCACGTTTCTCGGGCCCAGGATACGACCAAGGTGGCGGCAATGGCGCATCGTCTGGATGGGGCGGCGTGATGGGCTTAGCCCATCGACCTCTACGAGCTCGGGCTGGATTACCTCGCGTTAATCGAAACAAAAGAGCCGGAGCACCACCATATAACCAAGCTGCTACGTCGGCGCCGCAGGGCCCAAACGATAACCGACCCACTCCACCCCCAGCGGCGATGACACCGATCAGCCGTGCTGATACTACGAGCGCCGCGAGCACAGTGTACAATGTCCGGTATCATCCAGTGGCTAGCCCTACGCCTCCCGTAGCAATGCCAAATATGCACGAGGAGGAGGAATTCGATGAAGATAAGGAATTGGAAGGCACGGTGCCACATACTCCTAATCCAAATGGTCATGCTCTTTCTGTTCAAAACACACGAGAGCAGTCACCGCAGATTGTTCAACCCGATCCGAGATGGCGTGTTCTCCTGCAGCCATTCAAGAGGCGACGTGCATCTCTGCCGAAAGAAGTGGCATCTGCACAAGCCAGAGAAGAATTCTCAGAACACAGACCATCTGCAACAACAGAAGAGGCCGAGGCAGAAACAAATGCTGCACGGTCTCGAGCCGAGCACTTCTTTTCTCTTCACCGGAAAACTCGGCTGGGCACTGGGCCACAAACCGCCGAAGGCGCATTACCAGTCACCGTCATTCCAGCACGTCGCCGCGGCCAGCACACATGGTCGCCGCAAAACCGGCTGCTGGAGGATACCCGGCCACCGGGAGAGAGCCGGCCGATAGAACCCCCTCAACATCACGAAACGCCCTCTAATCGTCCTAATTTACCTGTGCGGGTGATTCCTTCTCGACCAGAAGCGTCTGCTCCATGGACGGAGGCAGACGTAGAGCGAGGAGGCGGAGACTATGTTCTACACTATGATCCTGAAGCTGCGGCGCTGGTCAACGAGGACATCAGCCACTTGGATCGCAACGATCATGCCACAGATTACGACCAACAAAGTTGGACAGATACGACATACTCGGAGGAAAGAAATGATGCGTCAGCGGTAGTGTCAGCGGAACCAACTGGACCATCCGCCGAATCCCACCCCGAGCACGGGCCTTCTAACGAACAGCAAGGGAACTCTTCATGAAACGCCACTTTTGGGCGTGGGAGATGCTATTTGGGTATGGCTGATTGGGGCTGAGCAACTTGGCCCCTGACAGGCAGTCAGACTCAGTCACGTTGAGTCACATTTAGTCACATTTGGACATTTTGGGACATTTTCATGGAGTATATGGATTTGATATTATTGGAAAGGTGTAGGGATTCAGCACCTTAGAAAGATACCCATTATAATTTTGAAATTGAATATAATATTGCATTAGTCTATTACTATGTTACTATGTACAATATGCTACGATGACTATCAGACGATCTCTGCTTGGTTCCAGAAGAGTAAGTGGCTTACCAACAAGGATTACAAAAGTGGAGACGAATTTTCACTCGGAAACTCGCGATCCCGGTGCCCTTTCCCCGTATTCTTTGTATCTCCCATGTGACAACTTACATTAGACGTCGCATCATGGCGACTGTCAATAGGAATATGTTCGGAGCGAGCATAACCCAACCGCCTGGCGGTACCCAGTTGATGGTTCTGCCGTTGAATCTCATCGCGGAGATTGTGTCGCATGTGAGAAAGAGAGAGCTCCACATATCTCATTTCCATCTCTAACATGCCGTAGGTCGACGATACAGGCGATCTCGCCCGGCTATGTCGAACATGTCGGGTCCTCAATTATATGGCGCTGCCACAGCTATACCGGAGCCTGACGCTGACCTCCTACGACAAAATTCGTTATCGCGGTGAACAACCAGAAGGAATAGGGAGTGCCAGTCCCTTCACGATGGGGTTGAATGCGATTATTACACGATCTTATGCGACGCTGGTACAGTCGATGACACTACGCGGGGAATGGAAAGACCATGAGCTGGAGGAGCATGCCCGAGTCGGCCGGGTGCCCGACGCATCGATGTTGTTGAACATCGCCGCCCGCGCTGCGGTAGATCGCATGACTAATCTGGAAAGCTTCAATTGGGAACTGAACACCAAAATGCTCGACACGGTTTATACAGGGCTGACCCAGCTGCCGAAGCTCACATCCCTGACGATCCGGTTTCCGTCCAGTCGTCACCCACAGCCCACTTTCGTGATACCGGGCATGCCGCATTTGCGATGTCTGAAAATCACCGATATCGACCCGCTATGCTACCCCGATGATATTGCGACTCTTCTTTGTAAAAGTAGGAAACTGCGCGAATTGAAATTACATTGGTCGCCACGCATGCGAGATGCACACGAGCCTAGTGTCTCTCTGCATGATTACTTCCGCAAGCTGATCGCAAGCAAGCAGCCCCTGGCGGTTAAGAAATTCTCCTTCCAGAATCTGTATGCCTTCCACACCGACGATTTCAACTACGCTTTTGATCCGACGACCGTCGAAGATGTCACATTCCTCAGTGGTGTTGAGGGCTCTAGTCTGGTCAACACATTCGTCGAGAGCAGCTGGCCGACAGTCCCACCCCATGCCAAGCTCCGCATGAAATCCGTTCGGATGGATGCAGTGTCAAAACGGAACTCGGAGTTCATTGGGAATTTCTCTGGACTCGAGCGGCTATACTTCGTCAATGTCACATCGGAATCAAGCGACCTTCTCAATTCTCCACGACCCGGAGGAGGCGCCGTCTCATCAGCGCTTACGCCCCCAACATCCGAACACCATTTGTCTGCGCCCAACGGAACCACAACCAACTCTCCTATTACTTCTGCTTCTCCGGCTAGCCAGCTCAGTGTTATGGCTAGCATACGAGACCTCTACCTTTCACACATTACCACAAATCATGGCGCGACATTGCGCCATCTCCTTCTCCCATCTAAATGGCCTCTCTCCACCGGGATGGTCGCGCGACTCGTTCACAGCTGTCCAAATTTGGAGCAGCTCGCCCTCGCTACCGAATTTTCTAGCATGGACTCACTGGGATTGCTAATACCCTTCCTCCGGAAGCTGAAAGCGATCCGACTTCTCATACCCCCAACCTCTGCACAGTCCTCAAATGGTCCTGCAGGTTCTACACCGAAGATGCCAGCATGTGCACGAGGAATGGCAGTGTCCAATGTAAGCACAGTGATGCAAGAGACATTCATGAATGCCAAGACTCTTGCAGAGGTGGTGGACATCGACGACTCGCTCCTGGCAGAAACGTTGAGTTACGATCTTGGCAACAAACAAGTTTACGGAAACGTGAAGATCATCAGTATGGGCTGGAAAGCGTGGGAACTGCGGGACTTCTACAAAGCCCCGGTCCCATTCGTGATCAATAAAGAGCCCCCAATACCAACAGATGGCGATAATGCATCCCCGGAGACAACCACAAATAGCCCTGTTCCCACGCAGGGTACCAACGGTGCTGGACTCAACACACCGTATCAGCCTTCCGTCGCCTATAAGTCACCCGATACACAGACAACACATATCTCTTCTTGGTCAAATCCAAGATCCGGCGTCCTACCACCGTCAACATTAGGGAAACGATCGCGAGATCGAGATGATAGCGAAACTCCCAGACCACCAACAAGCGGCCCGTATATTCCTGACAGGCACGAAGACAGTGAGGATCCTACGGCCTTCTACCCCGGCTGCTACCCGTACACCCTGGCCGAGGATGGTCTTGTGTGGAGACGGCGTGTGCGACGGGTTGGGTGGGAGGCTCTGAAGCATTGGGAGGTGTGGGCGTTGGATGCGCAGGAGATTTGAAATGGTTATCATGATTATCCGTTGCATTCTCGCGTCATGATACAAGGGAGTTTGGCATACCAATGAGCGGTGTTCGCTTTTTACCCCAGGGCTTGGGGTTTCGGGAGGTTCTAGTTTAGAGTCAAAGCAGGTTATGTCCCTTTGCTCTCGGCGTTTGAAAAGTATATATATATACTACATATGGAGATATCTCCTCTCTATGGGACTTATGTCTCTCTTATTTATAAATTGTATTTTGGTTATGTATGCTAATAGAGATCTAGCAATCTCGAGATCTATTTGTTCCTTTTTTCCCAATCAGGGCCTCACCCGGTACTGTCGGGGCTCACAGTTGAGCCAACTCTTAACCGTAGACATCGTCGCGTTCTTCTGAACATCGGCAATACCAGGCATCGCAAACTTGCCAGTATCGAAATAACGCTCAAGCCTTTGGCACACAAGGAGGCCATTGCGTGGCGAGAAAAGTTCCTCCGGTCGTGTCTTACGGAAGATGCCATCCATACTATCCTGTCACTCATAAAAGGGACCTCGATAGGTGCGATGCTTGGATCTCTTCTTTGCTCCGTATACTCCCCTAGAATAGGACACCGGAGCCATGGCTGGGTTGAGTGTTTTGCCTCGTACGCTCCGATAATTTTTTCCGGAAGTTAATCTGCTGGCTTGTGTTGCGATCCCCAATGCCCGTGTCTTTAATGGCCATGCCGATGGTAGAGGTCGTGGGGTTGATATTCGAGTTTCTTGATCTTGTCGTTCATTTTTGCCATCTCCGCACGTATTTTACGCATTTCTGAGAGAAGGCCGAAGCCGCCTTCGTATCTGTCTCCTTTGGTATCTTAAGCCACTGTGCGCCATGATGGACTGGGCCAATCCTAATGAATAACAATTGAGGCACAAAGCCAAAATCCATGTTGTACTATCAATGTGAAAGTATGAGGAATACTGACAGAATATTCCCAGACGGGTACTCGGACATCCTTGTCCATACTCCTATTTGGACCTCATCGGAAGAGGGGATGAATGTCGCGTGGATGCTTGCGGGAGCTGCGACAAGACCACACTCAGGTATGGGCTCTTCTTGCTGTAGGCCTAGCGCAAGAGCCATTTAGCTGCATTTCAATCTCCCATAAAAGCGTAAAAGACCTTTCAAACCAATAGAAAGGGTACCTTATTCAATTGGGGTATGAGGGACTGATCAATCTCGTTGTTTTCGCTGATGGATGAGTTGAATTTCCGTTGATGGCGTCTCAGGGGATGTTTTCAGAAAGAGCGTACTTTCCAAGACCTGAACAAAGATGAGGCCATAATATCGTCAGCCCTTTCATAGGGAGAAGCTATCAATTGCTGTCCTCCACCTGTCTAGAGACTGTATATAATAGTGTCCCACATCCCCCATCCTCACCCTTTTCATAAGAAGATTTTCAAAGCAACGATCGTAACAACCCGCCCTCGGAATAGCCCAACTGCATCATAGAAGACTCGTCGAGGAGGTCGAAGATCAAAATTGAATACTCGGGCCTCCACATAGGGCTCTCGCTTGGTACCCAGCCAGACCCATTGTCCATCGCCGAAATCTTGTTGGCCTCACTCACTTCTTCTTTCCCCCAATGACCTGCGACCTCTCGTAGATGAAGTCGTCAAGTCCCCGGACCTGCCAGTGGACAATCACAGAGACCAGCTCTGGGACGTTGAAAAGTCGCCCAGCGGCGTTTCTCTAGATGCCACGCGACTAGCGCGGATGAAGAATTTGTCCAGAGCGAATTGGAGCCATCGTTGATGATAGAGAAAGAAAAGGAAGGGCTGTTGAGGAGCTTCATGGAATTTATATCTTACTTTGAGTGAATGCCTACATGATGAATAGCTATCGTGTTTCGAGGGAGGTATATCAATAGAACAATAGAGAATGAGCGAGCTGATAAGAAATGAACATATATGTGAGGTGGAAGTGATATTATACCATGTTATTGCCAAGATGATCAATAGCTTCAACTGCATTCAAAAATGATTAGCTAGTGAGTAGTGGAGTAATCGTACAAGAAGATGGAAGTGCAGTCAAAGTGATCAAGTATAGAGAGAACAAAATCGGGAAATATGTGGAGGGAAAGAGAAGGGAGAAGGGAGTTTGGGTATCTAACTTAATGTTTCGAGACAAACAATTTCAATTTTTGGAAGGATTGATATTGCTATTGACTTAGATGAGGTAGGCCCTTCTTCAAACATAGAACTTAGTGAACCTGCTGGCCTCTCTCGGGCTCATTTCTAAATTCCATGTTTAGTCCACCAGAATGATTTCTGTCGTCATCTTCAATCAAGGTAGTCCTCTGCAAAAAGATCCTCCATATCCCATTTATCGGAATAGCCGTGAAACTCAATTTTCAAAGTAATCGTTATTCCCCACAGCAACCCCACCTGGAAACGAGAAGCCATGGCCAAAGAACTGCGTAATCTCTTGAGCCTTGAGCTTCTTGAGACAGCCTTGAAGATTCGGGTGTCGTTTCTTGAAGCGTCGGATCGCATGGGGAAACACACGAGGAGGGTGATCAAAGTTCAGCTCTTTCAAACTAGGGTACTTAGTCTGTTAAGAACGGTCAGCGCTGGCTGTATTCCAAGACAAGGGTAGAATGAGCACATACCGAAATGTCCCAGAAAATCGATTCCCATGCGTCAGGGCACATATCGTCCTCCTTCTCCTCATTTTCATAATCCATATCTTGGAAGGTCATGCGATAAAGATTGGGACAGTTCATTCGGGGGAGAGAACATTCTCCTCTCTCGCCACAAGTGAACATAAGGATAGTTTCCATTTTAGGGAACACAATATCTTTCAGATTCTGTGAAAGGTCCTTAGAGCACAACCCATCATTCAAGATACACGACTCGGCAAAAACCACAAAGTTGGCGTAAAACTGTCGACGGCCAGGCTTCAATTTCGTAAAGACGCGTTCGATTTGGGTGCCAATATGGCTCCATATAACAGGAAGTACCTCGCCAAGCCAAAGCTTGTTGACTAGACCGCAATGAATCAAGGCATTTGACGGTGCGAACCATCCTGAAGGCACAAACGAGATGATCAGGCCTATAATCTCAGCGATTCCGAGTGCTCGCTGTGCGGCGGTCATGGTTCCATGGGAAGGCATTCTCGCGACGATGGAGTGTGAGGGTTGTAGATGGAGAAGTTCAAATATGCCGAAAGAAAGAATAGAATAAAATAGGAAAGTTTCAAAGGGAAGAGGGCAAACAAAGGATGTGAATCCAAGTTTGGGAGTCTTCTGGGGAGTTTCCAGAAGACTGCGTTGATTGCTGTACGGAATCATCCCCCTCCCTCTTATCCCCTGTATACCCCTTCAACCTAGAAATTTCGTGAAAAAGCTGATATTTTTTTTGCATTAATTAAACTTCAAAGGCAATAGAGAAGAGAGGTGAGGGTGAAGCAGCAGAGAAACAAGATGCCTGAGATACTAGGACAAGATGACGCATAACTAGTGAAACATGAGTGGTTCATGTGGTTCAGTTGACCAAGTTGTATTGACCGCTAACGTTGCTGCTAACATTGCTGATACGTTACTAACTAGACAATCTACCTGGACACCTGGAAACTAGCTCTACAATGAACGGGGATGTGATTAAACACCCCCAATGTATTCCGTGAGACTCGTCGAGTGACTATGGAACCCCAAAAGCTCAGTCACTCGTCAAAGAACTCGCACGAGAAAGCCCCGTTTGATTTGGGTGCTGAACTGCATGGGCTTCAACAACTTAGTCATGTTGATGTCTTCATGCATGGGGCACCCATGTGCTACGGGACCCTCACCCAACGCTGTCTCATGGGGGGGGGGNNNNGGGGGGGGGGGGGGGGGGGGGGGGGGGGGTACAGAGAGATGGTGGTCGAGAGGGATGGGGAAGAGAAGAAGAGAAGGAAGGGGGGTGGGTGCCCTTTTATACCCCCAACAACACGTACCTTCCTAAAATGGACACTGGCCCTCCAATGCACTTTCCCCAAGAACCACATGTCACATGATATCTTTAAAGGGTTCTTTGTCAATGTCTCCATGGATGTTTAAGAGACTGTGACATTTCTGATGAGATCTGGAAGTAGAGCCTATTTCTCTACCATGAACACCTTGTACATCCACCTTTGTTTCTGCTTCTCACTGCGCTTGTCTCTCTTCTCACCTACCACAATATCCGGGACACCGAAAGAAAGGGAAGGGTGCTACTGGAGAATGTTGATAATTGGACCCCATCTTGAGGTCTTCTATAATTATCCTGCAAGCCTGTATATCATTTCGACATCTGCAACACCAAGGATATAGGGGGCATTCCTTACCAACTAAAAGCCAATTCAGCAACAATATGACAATCTACACTCCGAGTGAGCCCTGACGCATAATCCCTACCCAGCTATTGGTCTTTGCAATTCCTCAGGGCCAAGCAGAGATATCAGCAAAGCACTTGCCAAGGAAGCCAATTTCGCGACCAATAATTCACAGACGGTTATCCATGTCTTTGTCACACCAGGGTTGTCAAATTCATATCCGTTATTGCAACTCGAAGAGGACTGGTGGAAATCGAAGGATTGTTGCGCGGTTGCATGTCGTTGAGAGAAAGAGGGGATCGACAATGGAACGGGAGGAGCCGAGACCCACCAGTTTACTTCCTGGAGGTCCCTGTATATGTACTCTTTGTGCGTATAGTTATTTCTGGGATCGGCGGTGGTAGTCGGGGAGTATTGATCTTCAAACGGATAATGTCTAAGCCACTCGCACTTCTCTACCCCAAATTATCAAGTTCGAGCAAGGTGCAGACGGAAATTGCTCAGTCCTCAGGTCTTTCCCACTTCATTTAAGAAAACCCGGGGTAATAGCCAATTTAAGTGCGGATTCTCCCTCCTTGCAAAGATGTGCGTGGTAACTGCGAGAACAGATGTTGATATTAATGGCCTTACAATCGAGGCACCAAAACATCACATCGAACCCCGTGGTGTTTACCATGCCAATCAATCAAACTCTTTGTTAGATGAATAAAAGCTGGCATCCATTTATCTCTTCGCCGTAATCCTGCAGGATTTCAGAAATTCAAATTAAAAAGGCAGACTTCGATAGTGGCCCTTTGATTTGGGGGCTAAGTCGGTTTCTGCCAGCCCATATTTTCTTCGTCCAAACAAAATCGAGCACCATGATAAAAATGCGATGGCAATCCCTTTTGAGACCGGGGAGGCGTCTAACTCATAGGTTTTCTTCAATTTCTCCAGTCGCCAACAAAAAATTTCAAATGCCTGGTTTCAATGTGCCCCTGAACTGTGAAGTTAGACTCGCCCCTTTCGAAACAAAGCATATGCTAATTTACCCAGCCAAATGTTTACGAGCGAGAGCGCGGAGTACTCGGTTTATTGGGCTTTCCGAACGCTTTAGACCCAAGCCACATGGAATCTTTGGAGTAAGGGCTGGTCACAAACCGCGGCAGCTTGGAAGCTAATGCAAGCTCTCCAGTGACCTCGTGACACACAGAGAGGTTCTGATGATGCGAGTAATGAACGCCATCACCGACAAGTCCAAGTGGGATGAAAAGGTATCTAGGTTTCACGTAATCGCATTCACCATATTGACTTCTTGCAGGTGTTTGACAAGCACATCACTTCCAAATGGCGCGAGGAGATCGCCAAGAGCGGACAAGATGTGACATCAAAGATGATGGACTGGATCATCCAAGAGCTGCAGTGGAAAGCTGAAATCTTCCGAAAGACAGGTCGTGTCACCGTTTTCGATGTAGGAGTCGTCAAATCCGACAACGCCATTCCCAGTCAACTACAGCAGGACTTGAGACAAGCAGCAGCTCTTTTTGAAAATGTACCCGAGTCCCAAAAGGACCACCATCCCGGATCCGATAAGAAAGTTGTGAACCTAGTTCATCCTTCATTGTTTCCAGTCGTCTTTGGTCGGACTCGAGTTCTCCCTGACCAAATCATCGGCGTCGATGACTGTCTAAGTAGTATGGGACAGGGTACTTTGGTCCCAACTCCCTCGGAAGAAGAGAGCCGTGCCAATCGTGAGCCTGAATTCGCGCGTTATAGCTATGGTCGGCCAGAATTCAGTCGAAAATTCCAGTGGCTCCCATTTGATGTGGATATCAACAAAGATTCCAGATGCGAAATATCATCTTACATCAACAATGTACACCCGATTGAGCATCGGGGTCTGTACGATGTGGTCGAAAAGGTCATCGAGAGAACGATCCCGCTTTGGGATCAGTCCTTGACCAAAATGGCATGGGGTAAACAAAGAATTCCGTATACAAAGGTTGAGTACGGTGATCCCATAGGGCCGGAGCCTAAATGCCCTCAAGCGACCGACGATGACTTTGATGAAAGTGAGTACCTGGAGCGGCACGAGGAGTGGGAGTATTCCCACATACTACTCCCCGAGCCAGGCAACTTCGAGGTTTTCGAGGCTCATGATGAGGATAAAGTCAAACTGAGGCAGCAATTCGGCAAAAGTGGACTACAAGTGATTGTCAAATTGGCAAATATCGAATTGACCCCCGAAAAGCCTGACTATGAAGGAGGGACCTGGCACATAGAGGGTCAACTGGTCAGCTTCATTTGCTTTTCCCTTAAAGCACCAGTCTTACTAATTTCTCATTAGAATGAGCGGATATGTGCAACGGCAATCTACTACTACGACAATCAAAACATCACTGAGAGCTCGTTGTCATTCCGGCAAAGAGGTAGCCAGATGGACGACATTCAATACGAACAAGATCGGCACGAGTTTCTCCAAGATGTTTATGGCTTGGGTATGAGGGAATATTACAACGAAATTAAAGTTGCGCAAGAGCTTGGAGGCGTGGTTTGTCAAGAGGGTCGACTCCTGACATTCCCCAATTCTGTTCAGCACAAAGTGTCCCCATTTTCCTTGGCCGACAGATCAAAAAGCGGACATCGGAAGATCCTCGCGCTGTTTCTCATCGACCCTCATAGACGTGTGATCTCATCTGCCAATGTTCCTCCACAGCAAGAGGACTGGGTGCCAGAAACCTCGAAGATTGTGAATAGCGTGCGTTCGCATGCTTCAGCAAACTCGCCGGATACACCTGGTCAAGGTGTTCCCGGCCCGGTGATGAGTATGAAAGAGGCAGAAGCTTACAGACTTGAGCTTATGGAAGAACGCAGCATCGAGGCAGTGGAGAATAACAAACGGTTTGAGCATGGAGATTTCAGTCTTTGTGAGCATTAGGTGACTTCTTGCTATGTGGTCAGGAGAAAACTTCCGATATCCAGAGGGCTAAATTTAGGTTGTCATGCAAGCACAAAAGGGAGCAGTGCTCAATGGATCTATCCGAAATGTGTTGTCTTCTGCATAAGACCCCTTTTGGTTGCCTTTTACCCAGGTGGCGTCCGGCAACTCGGAAAGATGCTGCAGCTCTGCCGGCAACTATCCACGTGAGGGTCTATTTCGATGTGTTGCTGGCGACTCCCATAAGTCTCTAAAAGGGACCGGATTGTTGTGAGACTTTAACTGGGCCTTGTTCAAACCCGAGATAATTTTTCAACCTTCAACATGTCCGGACAAGTACAGAGCCTGATGTAATCGATGTACTCGGCATATTTCCCGATGTGGGGAATGTTTTGAGGCGTCATTCCTGATTCTTTTGAGTTCATCTCGTGGACGGTTCTTTTTGGGTTCTTTTGATTCGTTATCGCTTCGTTTTCACAGCTGATTGGCTCAGAATCGACCGAGTGGGATGGCGGTTAGGCGGACCGGCTGAGACACCTCCGCTCTTACGACTTGGCGGGGACTCGACCCCGCTTATCCGCCCGAGGAGGCCATCAGATTGGACTTCGGAGGTATTGCGAATTTCCAGATATTCTGGCCTCAATGGATGATCACATTGGGATGATTCGAATACTTAAAGGCCGAATCTGTCCCATTATCTCGTCCATCAATTCAAGTTCAGTCTAATGCTTTACGGTTCTATTTGGAGAAACAGCTACCATGGCCACTACTACAACTACCACCATCCCGCCCCTCAATCAATCTCCTTTTGAGTAAGCTGACTACGTTGCCTGCTACTAGACAACAATTGCTAATTGACGTTAGGCTAATTGGCCCATATGGAGATTGGAGAGACGACCTTCACAATCAGGGTTATGTAGTCATCAAGAATGCAATCGACCCAGAAAGGGCCCAGAGCTATCAGCGCAAAGCCTTGGAATGGCTCAAGTCTTTCAGCCCGGCCCTTGACCTTAATGATCCTTCTACATGGACCAAAGACAACTTGCCTGTCCAAAGCAAAGTGAATACATTCAATGGGTATTCTGTCACCCATGAGAAATTCATGTGGGATGCTCGCATGGAGCCAAAGGTATTGGAGGCATTCGCCAAGATCTGGGGTACGGACGAGCTACTCGTTTCGTTTGATGCATTGAATGTCACTCTGCCAAACCAAAAAGACAGACCTGCCAAAAAGCCATGGCCCCACGTGGACCAGTCCCCGTTCCGTCGCGGGCTCCACTGTATTCAGGGCATTATCAATCTAAGCCATGCGGGTCCCGAGGATGGATCCCTTATGGTGTTCCCGAGGTCGAACACAGTAACCGAGAGGTTCTTCGACACCGAGACGGATCCATCCACCTGGGAGCAGAAAGATATACGCCTATTCAGTGAGGACGAAATCCAGTGGTTTGGAAATCATGGGATGAAACCAATCAAGGTGCTCGCAGAGCCTGGGGATTTAATTCTGTGGGATTCACGTACTGTGCATTGGGGTGGGGAACCAACTGTCAACAGCAATACGATCCGAACGGTGATTTATGCATCATATGCCCCTTTTGAGTTAGCCACGGAAGAGAGTTTGAGGCGGAAGAAAGAAGCTTTTGAGTCTTATCGAGCAACGACTCATTGGCCACACGAGAATATAGTCATACGTGACGGAGTGGTACATCTGCCGGATGGCAGTGTCGACCCCCGCAATCGATCTGTGCCATTGGAAGTGCCAGAGCATACAGATCGGTTGCTTCAACTAGCAGGAGTAAAGTCTTATCGGTAAATTAATATAATCTATTCTTTTGGGGATTTTGGCGATCCTCCACTAAGCACATTTGATTATTAAGGGGCCAAGTTTTTTGGCGTTTTGCTGACGACCCCGCAGTGAGCCTTTGACGTCGATCTTCCGTATTGCTCACAAAGCAAATATGAAATCATTTGAATCTCGCCCTCCCGTTGATTATCCACGGAAGCGTGCATCAATCGCATGTAATTTCTGTCGACATCGGTACGCGTTCAATATCTCTATTTGAAACAGTCACTAAAGTAGACTAGGAAACGAAAGTGCGATGGCCAAAAGCCGACATGTGGCCTCTGCACCGACGCGGGGGCCCAGTGTGTCTATCAAGAAAGCGACAGGTAGAAAGCGTTCACCTCGTGAAAAAGGTTCCTAGATAGTGACGATCCATAGGGTGCAGGATATTCCAGCTGAAATCCTGCTTCGCTTGACCCATCTGGAAACCCTGATCGAGCAACAAAAGGACGCCATCACCGAACTCTCAGCCCGGGTAGCCTCTTCATCGGATCATCCGGCTCGGTCCGTTCCCTCTATCTATTCGTCACAGCCAAAATACGACTGGGATCCATCTTCGGAGCATGTATACGATAAAACTTTCGGTCTTTTTTCACCGGAGAACACATACGGCCATGAATATGCATTTACTATTCCCCTCGGTCATCATACGCCAACCGGAAGCCTATTTGTGTTAGATCGAGTCAAAAATTTGGTTGGCGACTACCCTCAAGACTTTTTTAAGCAGATAGAGAAAAAGCGACCATTCAACAGCATCCAGGCTGCAGGCATACCTCAGGCTTTTGAACAAATCGACATATCCCGACTGCATCCCCAGGTCACCAAACCCCTGATCACCGAGTTTCTTCACCATGTCCATCCATTCTTCCCAATTGTCGAGCCGCAGTTGTTACATATGCTCTTTGACACCTTCTCAACATATACCAAGGTCAACAGCATCCAAACTTCACTTTATCTCGTCATTCTGGCTTTGGGAAAGGCATCCTCGAATCCTCAACGAATTTTTGATATCGAGGCAGATCAAGATCTGAGTGGGATGGAATATTTCGCTTGCGCATATCAATACTTGAACAACCCGTTGATAACGTCCTTCACAGCGGACCACTTGTTGCCTTTGGCTTTATTCTACGGATCTTTGTACCTGCGTCACATAGGACGCCCGATTCAAGCATGGCAGATGATACGTGATGCATCCGGTAGTGTGCAGATCATGATTGCCGAGTAAGTGTCTTCTCTGAATACGTCTTTCCGTGGAGATATTGATATGAATTGAATACAGACTACATGACATGAACACACACGAAGAGCGAGCTAGTCTCTACCGGATTGCTTGGGGTTGCTTCATTCTCGAATGGTTGGTATACTCTCTGGGATTATCTTACATCCAGCTAACCACCTCGCCCCAGTGACGATCTCGCCGAGTTCCATTTCCCTTCCAGTGGTATTGAGCTCCTTGTCGTTAGACTACCCTTTCCTCGAATTTCAGAAGATAGCCGAAATGGCCACCTTGTATTCCTCGCAATGTGCTCGATCAGAAAGCTTCTCAACCGTGTGCACAGTGCTCTGTATGCCAAATCCGATCAGGAGAACTTCCATGCTAGCCCTCCGCCTCAACACACAAGTGACACCCCCAGTGCGACTCCCCAGAAGCATTCGATTACATCCCTCAAGACAATCAGCGAGGAACTAGATCGTCAGTTGGAGGATTGGTTTGGTTCTCTCCCAAATCCCATCAGGCCAACCCTGGGCAATACGATATCCGCAGATCACCCTTACGATACTTACATTCTCGCTCGGTACTACGCCACAAAACACATCATCTGCCGCCCGAGTCTTGTTTTTGCTGCCCACACCCAGGGCAGTACAGTATTGCCAGAGTTTGTTTTTGCGAATTGTAAGAAGTGCGTCGATAGCTGTCGCAAATTCATTTGGGCGGCATCGATTCTTATGCGGCAGAGAACGCACTCAAACTGGCACAAAATGCAAGCGTAAGATCATCGTTCTGTTTCTGAGTTTCATCTTACTTACTTCACACATCTAGAATGTTGGCTGCGATTTTTACTCTCTCGACTGCGAAAACCACGCCAGCTTTAGAGGCCCTTGTTCCGGACTTCGATGATCTAGTGAAAGAAGCAATTCAATGCATTGAACTATGGGCGCAGCATTGCGAAACAGCGGATACAGTCGTCAGCATGTTGAAGACAATCCGGCAGAAAGTGCGAGTGTTAGTTCGGGGAGCTTAGTAGAGAGTATCTCGATTTATGCTTGGGTACATAGCTATACGTATTTTGTTGCTTCGCATTGGCATGTATATTTGTGAATCTGAATGCGCTGAAGATCAACGAGAGGCTAGCATTTGAAGTCTACTGAATATATTGTTGTTTCAAAGTTGTGCATGGTGGGTTTGTTATCAGTAAATCCCCCACGCGCTGCGGGGGATTTCGGGAAATGGTTCAACTTGGACAACACTTCACTTGCACAAGAATATGTCTCCACCACGACTAACGAGCCAGATTAATTTCATTCATGGTGTTCGACTCGCAGGGGAGCCGTCCACCTGGAATATCCAGATCGGATACCCTGCAGACTCTCCAGGGGGCATAGTCACCTCTGTGACCCCGCATGAACCCTCTACTACGGATGATCTCGAGTCTCCTCTAGCCTTACCAGCCTTGACACACCCTCACATTCACCTAGATAAAGCCTTTATCCACAGTGCACCTGAATATGCCCCATTTCTACCTACGGCTGGCACGTTCCAGGAGGCTTTGTCCTCCACGACCAAGGCTAAACAGCAATTCAGCCATTCTGATCTCATCAGAAGAGGAGAGTGGCTTCTTGCTGAGTCCGTTGCATCGGGTGTCACTGCAATGAGAGCATTTGTGGAGGTAGACCATACAGTGCAGCTGATGTGTTTAGAAGCAGCCGTTGCTTTGAAAAATCAATGGAAAGCATCTTGCGATATCCAAATCGTCTGCTTTGCACAAGACCCAATATTCTCTAGTGAATATGGAGAAGAAAACATGAACTTCCTGGAAACCGCTCTTGATAAATATCCGCAAATCGATGTTATCGGAACAACACCATACGTCGAATCCAGTGCCGAAGCTGCAAAGCAAAACATCGAATGGGCGATTGATCGTGCCTTGCAGCTGAACAAACACGTCGACTTCCATCTCGATTACAACCTCGACTCAAACAAAGAGGCCCTAGTTTGGCATGTCCTACAAACCCTCAAACAACGAAGTTGGACCACCCACTCAACAGACAAGCGTGTCATGCTTGGTCATTGTACACGATTGACCCTGCTCACGGAGAACGAATGGGCTCGGCTGGCAGCTGAAATCCACGAGAATGAACTCCCAGTCAGCTTTGTGGGTCTCCCAACAAGCGATATGTACATGGCGTCACCTCCCAGAGCGAGCGAGGACTGCTGCAAGCCATCACAAGATCGTCCGAGAGGCACTCTACAAGTCCTAGAGATGATCCAGAAATACAGCCTGGATGCAGTGATTGGGGTGAATAATGTCGGCAATTCATTTACCCCATGGGGTTTGCCTGATCCATTATCGTTGGCTTGTCTCGGCGTGGGAATTTACCAAGCTGGAAGTCAGGCGGATGCTGAGCTACTCTATGAGTGTGTCTCGACACGAGCCAGGGCGGCTATTGGGCTCTCGCCAGCCCATTCGGGTCTATGTGTGAAGCAGGGATGTCGACCGGACCTGCTGGTGGTTCATCATAGAGATGATACTGGGTGCGGTGTGTCTCGACCACGAACAAATGTTGCAGAGGTTGTGTGGACTCCGCCGGGGAAATTTAATAGGGATGTGGTTTCTGGTGGACGACTTAAGATTTCTCCTTTTGCTGTTGCGGAGTCAGACGCTCTGTATCAATTCTGATTTTGTTTCATGCGACAGTCATCGAAGATAGGGTTATATGTACATAACGGCCAATTGGTGGGATTAATCATCCATGCAAATTGGACGACTAAAGATATAAATCAACGCTTTTCAACAAACTGGAAAGTTCAGATTCGTGCGAGCATCCATCAAAGTCCCCATTCGATTATTAATAAAAATCAGCAGAAACCCGTGGACCAATCTGGCATTCTGGATCTTCAAAGATCAGACAGAAAAAAGAGAGACACAAGGCAAGACTAATTGGTTGTCTTCGGCCGCAAGGCATAGAACTGCACCGGCAAGAGACCCAAAGACTGCGGGAATCCCTTCTGGAGTTCCGACTTAACGATCTCCATGCCAGCCGCCTCGAAGACCTGCCTGAATTTCGCATCTGTCCTTGTAACACTGCTATCCTCACTGTCGTACATATCCTGTCCAGAGAAATGAGTGGACAAGTTCTCCTTGACAACCATAAGGCCGGTCGGAGTCAAAGCTTTGCGACACCGCACGGTATAGTCAATGAGCTGTGAATCGGTGAGGTGGCCCACACACCACTGGACCCAGATCAAATCGTATTTCTTCTCTGGGGTCCAATCTTCAAGGCCACGCGTGTAAATGCTTCCAATGATGCCGTCTCGTTTCAATTGGCTGTCTTTCATCACTTGTGTGAACTTGGCTACCGGCTCTACCGCATCTACCACGTCACAGACATGGCTCAGGAAGCCTTCTGTCACCCGGCCGATACCGGCACCGCAGTCCACGCCTAGGGGGAATTTTCCTGCGGATTGAACACCTGGTATCAACCGGCGGATCTTGGCCAGGAAGGTTTTAGACCCTTGTAGGTCAATGCGTGTTACTGAAGGGAACTCGCCCAGCATGCTGCCCGTGGTGGCTGGGACACTGTTCCAGTATGCCAAGGAAGCCGCATGGTTGATTTTGGAATCAGCGGTGGTTGAGTCTGTCATGTTGGAATTTTTGACAGTGTTGACAGTGTTGGCCTGTATGATTGTTTATCGGCACGATTAAATATCCGCAAGAGGCAGAAATGTCTTAGGTGAGGATTGTGTCACAGGAAAATCAATATCCATCCCACTCACGTGATCATTTAATTGCAACGTATATCGTACAACATTCTTTTATGTGCACTCTGTCCATATTTAAGGCTCTACCTTTGAGGTGCTTATTTGCATACTTTATTGTGATTGGTTTAGATTATCCTTGTCTTTAACGCTAAAATATTTCCCTGAATTCTTGGCAGTTCGACTTTAATTGCTAATCTCCTAAAGACGTGATACGCTAGAAGCATTAAAAAAAACCAAGACTTGGGGCTGTGCTGTGATCGACAGGGATAAAACAGAAAAAAGAAGTCGAGATTCCCTCTAACAGGCTGAAACTTGAGTTCAGGGTACCTGGGGACTTGGGGACTTACGTGTTCTGGGGCGACACCCCCGTTGAAACGGGCCTGTGATTGGAAGTGCCCATAGCGTCTCCATAAGGGTGTAAACTGCCGATCCGCTCATAAATCGTGTCTTTCCCCTTATCTCCCTTTCCAACCACTTTTTCCCTACTCACCACAGTCATTCCTTTATACTGTTTTTTTGATTTTCAACCATGGCAAACGATCGCACAGATGAGCGTAAGCTCGAGGGTGGCTCTCCTGCCCCCAAGGACGACGGCCTCCACCCCGGTTTCTACATTGCGTACGTAACAATTTACGTGGTCTGGTTGCCCAGAATTAAACTAAGACTCGACTTTTTAGCCTGTGGATTGCTCTGAGTTCCAGTGTCATTCTGTTCAACAAATGGGTTCTTGCGAGCGCCAAGTTCAGTATGGACCCCTTCTCTCTGATCCCCTATTATTCGCTTGGTGACTTTGCCACTAACCTTTATTGATTCTAGACTTCCGTGAGTCCCTTCGCCGCCAAGTCGCGATTAAACCGCGTCCGGAGAATTCAATTACTGACATGAGATACCAGCGCTCTTCTTGACCACCTGGCACATGGTGTTCGCCACGGCGATGACCCAGATTCTTGCCCGGTTCACCACCGTGCTTGACTCCCGCCACAAGGTCCCTATGAACCCGGCCACCTATACGTGAGCAAACCCCGATAATGCAATGTGGAACAGCTAGCACGGCTGAAATCCGACCCGAATACTCGATCGCTGACTGGTGGGATTTGTGTAATACAGACGCGCCATTGTGCCCATTGGTGTCATGTTCAGTTTGAGTCTGATCTGCGGTAACCTGGCATACCTCTACCTGAGTGTTTCCTTCATCCAGATGCTTAAGGTGCGTTTGAACTAGGAGTTCAACCTTAAATGCGATCTCCGTCCGCTCTCGCGAATGCTAGACTTGACTTGATGCTAATACCATGGTTTTATTTAGGCCACCAACGCTGTCGCGACCCTTGTGGCTACCTGGGCTTTCGGAATCGCTCCTACCAACTTGAAGACCCTCGGCAATGTGGCTCTCATTGTTGTCGGTGTTGTTATTGCCTCGTTCGGCGAGATCAAGTTCGACATGCTCGGCTTCCTCAGTATGTTATATGTTATCTTCTGCTATATTTGACATTCGAGTCCTAACAACCATACAGTCCAGATTGCCGGTATCGTCTTCGAGGCTCTCCGTCTTGTCATGGTCCAGCGTTTGCTCAGCTCCGCCGAGTTCAAGATGGACCCCTTGGTCTCTCTTTACTACTACGCCCCGGCTTGCGCTATCACCAACGGTGTCGTCACCCTCTTCGCTGAGGCTCCCCGTCTTACCATGGGTGATATCTACGGTCTTGGTGTCGGAACTCTCATTGCCAACGCACTGGTTGCTTTCCTTCTTAACGCTTCCGTTGTTTTGCTGGTAAGTCATTTTATCTCATAGTAAGCAGCTTGTCACTAACACACCAATAGATTGGCAAGACTTCTGCTGTTGTCCTGACCATGGCTGGTATCCTCAAGGATATCCTCCTTGTCGGTGCCTCCATGTTCATTTTCCGCGACCCCGTCACTGCCCAGCAGTTCTTCGGTTACTCCATCGCCCTGGCTGGTCTGGTGTACTACAAGCTCGGTGCTGAGAAGTGCCAGAGCCTTGCTACCGATGTGCGCCTCCAGGTTGGTGAGTACAACCGCAGCAACCCTGCTCGCACTAAGGCTATCCTCATTGGTGTGCCTTGCGCTCTCATTCTGCTCGTTCTCTACACCGGTAGCTCCGCCCCCGCTGCTGCGCAGGTGACCCACTAAGCACGAACACGCGTACATTGGCGAACTGAAGCAATCGACGGAAATTTGGAACACGCGGAGCACATTCCGCGGTGGCCTATTGTTTCACGAATCCAAGCTCGGGTAAGTAAACCCGATGCTTATGTTAAATTTTGATAAAGATCATGTCTTGTCTTGTCTGGACAGGACATAACATGCATGTAAAGTTAGGGGACATAGACGATATCTAGCTGTTTTCATTGGGGATAGGATATATAATAAACGGCTGTACGAGATTGATATATTGTATCAACTAGACATTCATTCCTAGTATTTCCATTGCGCAGTACTCCGTGCAATGGTTCCAATTCAATGTTTCGGGTAGACATCTTCCTCAACGAATCAACAATGATACAGCGTATCCTATTCCTCTTTCATGGATAACGCTTGAACAAAATATCCGCCAGGCCAAAACAAACAGCCCCGACAGCAAACGTACTAGCAAAGACAGAAAACCCGACGACATACGCAGGTGAGTCTTCAGCCGGAAACAGGGCAGTCCCATACAACTGCGCCAAAGCAGTAACGCTAGAGATCCACGCAAGCATAATCGCACGAACGTCACGAGTAACCGAAGCCAGAGCCGTAGTAGCAAATGAAAGAGCCAGCGCATTTCCCGTCCAGAGAGTCATGTTAATGAAGCATAAAAACACATATCGCGCAGTGTAGTTTCGAATACCCGCCATAAGAGCGAAAAACACCATCCCGAATGTCATGTTGCCCACCAATAGCTGTCCTCTAGTATGGGGTTTGCAGTCAGCGAACCAGCAAATGGGGATAGCTGCAGCCAGAGAAGCAATATAGAGTGGAGCTGTCATATACTGCGAGGTGGTAGATGTGTATCCCATGTCGTTGACCAATGTTGGATAGAAGTATGAGATAGCCCCGGCTCCCACAATGGTACTGTACCCCGGGATCAGAACCCACGCTCGCCAATTTGAGAGTGCTTGGAGCAAGAGTATAAAGATAGAGGTGTTTTGGGTTTTTGGGTCGCCTTGATCGGCGATTCTGTCTTCGATGAGTCTTTGTTGGGCTAACTTTCGTTCTTCAGGGGATAGCCCCCGACTGCTGTGCGGGTAGTCGAGTAGAGTCTAGTGCACGATCAAGCTTACACCTGCAGTTGCGACTCCTTCGACAATAAAGAGCCATCTCCAGCCACGAATACCATGTGCGCCATCTAATGTCGATGTGATGGCTCCTGAGATTATGTCCCCAAAGGCTCCGGAGAGTATACCTGCGGTCAGGAAGCTGATGAACCGTTTTGATCTACTTCGAGTAAGTGATATTCCAAGGCCATGCTATTGTTGTATAGGCAAACTTACTGCTCGTTCTTTCGATACCATGTAGAAATTAAGAAGATCACAGCTGGCTTCATCAACGTTAAAATGAATTTCTGGAATTTTACTCAAGTCACTCACACTAAAACCGGCTTCGAAGACCCCAAGAAGGAATCTCAGGGCTATGAGTTGGCCATGGTTACGGACAGCTCCTATCAAGGCTGCCACAGATCCCCATGCAAACGTGATTATTGGAATGAAAACCGATGGGCGAGTCCGAGCGAGAATCATGCTAAACCAAACTTAGCATTTTTTCAGGTGGAAGAGACAAAGCTCTCGTGGTACTTGGATGGCACTGCAGATATAGTATACCCAATCACCCATACTATCACGGCTGTATAGTATTGCTGTGATGTGAGGTGCAGATCCTCTTCTATTCCGGCGATTTTTGCAAGGCCAATGTTCGATCTGTCCTGCATAGTACTCTCAGCTGGATATTACTAGTTGGAAATTGCTAGGTTGAGGTACCATGTATGAGAAAAGGTAAAGAATAAAGACTGAAGGCATCAAATAGAGATCGATCTTCCGGACGAGCTTTCTCTCAGCGTCTGCATCGACAATGATACACCTGGAAGTTTCTTCAGAGTGCAAATCCTGAGCTTTGCTGTGCTCGACAGATATAGACATCTCAGCCATAGTTGATTAGTTGTGGTAAGTGATATTGACAAAGGTGACCTTTCTCGACCATCATTACTCGCATCTGGTCTGGAATTAGTGAGCTTATATCGTTAAATCTACCGAGTTATTAGTCTACATGGAAAACCCTTGGTCGGCTGGGCTACCTAGTACTTGGGATTAGGGTTGAAGAACTGGGTGGTTATCGGCATGATCTTGTTCGATGCCACGAACATTCCACAACATTGTTTGTGTTGTAGCAAAGCCCAAATCAAAACATTCCATCAAGATCATGGTAAGTAGGGCTATTTACAACTATACCGAAAATCAACGGCTACATAGAACCACGTAGTTAACTGACTCTATAAATAGCTAATAGCAGAGACTGTTTGTTTTGTAGTTCAATTTGAATCTAGTAGTTCCCTGTATAAGTCATTTTTAATTATAAAAACTCTACTCTGTACATGTGTAGTCATTCGCGGAGGTGGCCGTTTTTGCGTGGCCGTTTATGGAAATGTGTCATTGTTGCGCGTTCGGGCCCAGACATGCCCCCAATTTCTTAAATTTCATTTTTCCAAACATTCAGACAACCTTTGCTATTTTCCAGTGGCTTCGCGTGTTTTTGAAGCTTTTCAAGTGCTGAAAGCAGCAGAACAAATATTTGGCCATGGCAACCAACAGAGGGATTGTGGTCATATCAGGAGGGAGCGCGGCGAACAATCTCGTCGATGTATTCAACGCCGTCCGTGAAAGCAAGAATTGCCCACTTAGCTACATCATTCCAATCAGTGATAACGGAGGATCCTCTTCCGAGTTGATTCGAATATTCGGCGGCCCTGGGATTGGTGATGTTCGGAGTAAGCCCAGCACCTTGGATCTCCCTAACTCGCTTGTTAACTTGTCGGACAGGTCGATTGGTACGCTTGATTCCGGACTCGCCAGCAAATCCTGAGAGGTCAGCAGTCAAGGCATTGTTTAACCATCGGTTGCCTGCGGAAGCAGGCATCGCAACCAATGAATGGCAGTCCATTGTTGACGGCACATCTGAGCTATGGACAGCCATCACCCCCGCAAAGAAAGAGTTGATACGCTCATTCTTCAATGTATTAAACCTGGAGATTTTGAAGCGAGCCCGACCGCCATCATCAACCTTTGACTTCACCGCCGCAAGCGTGGGAAATCTTTTTTTGACTGCCGCCCGGCTGTTCAGTGGAAGCTTCGAAAGTGCCATCTATCTCCTTGGGAGCATCTGTGGCGTCCCGTCAGATCTGGTGCGCGTAATTCCAGCAATCAACTCCAATTTCTCCCACCATATCTCTGCATCGCTTGCGGACGGAACTGTCATTGTTGGCCAGAACAGTATCTCGCACCCAAGCGAGGCGACGGCCCTTGAGCACAACTCTCGCTCTAGGAGACCGAGTTTGCTGCTTGCCGATGGAGATGATGTTGACTACACAGATTCCGAAATGTCGGACCCGACCACATACGAAGAAGATCATCTTCCCGGCTCGTTGGCAACTCTCCGCAACAAGAATATCAAGTTCAGTAAGACTGAGAACGAAGATTTGAGTTCCAGAATCACTCGCATTTGGTACATCAACCCCTATGGCCAGGAGATCCGGCCACCTGCCAATCCGCGAGTGCTGGAAGCAATAAACGATTCCCAGGCCATTATCTATAGTATCGGCTCTCTCTACACATCAATCATCCCTGCTATCGTCCTCCGAGGCGTAGGCAAAAGCATCGTCTCCAGCCCAGCCCGACACAAAATCCTCATTTTGAATGGATCATTGGATCGGGAAACAGGGCCTCCGTCCGCACCATTTTCTGCGTCTGATTTTGTGGAAGCAATTGTAAGCGCTGGAGAAGAAAGCCGTGGACGGGGCCCGATTATTCATGCTCAACATCAGAGTCAAACCCCCACGAAGACTTCAGGGCAAGACAATGTTCGAAATTATAGAGCCCTTCCGTACACCAACTATGTTACTCATATCTTGCATCTGGATGGTCCGGGAACACCGCATGTGGACCGTGAGCGGCTCACGCACATGGGCATTGAAACGCTTCGTCTTTACGGACGAAAAATCATGTCCAAGGATGGTGATAAGGAGACGGTTGTGGGAATGCAATATGATCCTAATGCCCTTGTGCAGGCCATTGAGGTAGTGTTGGGGAAGAAGGGGGATGCAATGGTTCGAGGTGGACTGGGAAATGCGCTGGGTCGACGGAATACACTCGATCCTGCAAGAAGGGACCGATAGGATATGCAACAGTATCCGTTTAGAAGGAAACCTTGGAAGATTGTACTATAAGCTATATCCAGATACAACTACGTCTACACATCGTGCAAATTAATAGAAAATGAAACACCATTCGTTAATTTAGGGTCGTTAAACACAGACACAAATCGCTTATGCAAAATCCCAACCAAATACCATCCATTCCCATGCTCCGATTCGCAATGCCGCAAGAGTCAAGAGAAAAATAAAGATTTGAAGAGCCAAGGGAAGAACCCGTGTAAATGCTCTATGCACCAGATGCGGAAATATCACCTCGCTTTTTTGTGAAAAATAACAGCGGAATGAGATTCTTAGACTTCCCAGGCACTTCCTTCCGCGAGATCGGTGTGCGACACACCGGGCAGGTACCCTTATGTTGTTTCGAAGAGTCACCGCCGCGTGTTTGTTCGCTCATCTTCAAGCAGTCGATAATGCACTTGTGACAAAAGAGATGTCCTAAACATGAGGAGTCAGTAGAAGCCCTGGGATAACGAAAGCCTATATAGTATAGAATCAAGAACATACCGCATGAGGTGCTCGTTGCGTCCACAGGCGTCTCCATGCAAATGGGGCATTTGTAAGCGAGTATAGCGGAGAGATTTGAATCCCTCTCCTCTGACGCCTGCGCTTTGATGGCGTCCTCCCTCTGTTTGGCCACTGTTCGAGCGAGTGCGGCCGCGCTTGAGTCGTCGGTCATATCGATCGTTTCGATGGGCTCGTCTTCGGAGAGAGTTGAAGAGGATGTGACGGAATCGCTGTGCTCATCGCTCCAATTACGGCGACGCTTGACACCACGAGTAGGAGCCACTTGTTCATGGCGGGAAGAAGATGCGTGGGTTGAGGCGTTAGGCGGGGAGGAGGATAAAGAGATAGGATTTTGCCGGGAAGATCTGGTTGTCAGGTCGACAACATCGGTTCTATTTCGGCTCATTGTGACCGACTGGGAATTGCGACTCTTTCTAAGAGGTTCGTGGGGTTAAACGAGGAAAATAGTCTGCGATTGGAAAGGGAACTCGTCTGCGGCTCTGTGCTGCCGTGTGGGGGAGAACGTGAGACGATCTAGAATTGGTGGCCGACGAACAGCCTCAGGATGTTGAAAAAAATTCGTTGAGACACAAGGCAGCTATTATAGGTTTGAGCAAAAGAATCGTCGGCAAAATTGGGGGCCTCTTCAGCGATCAAAGCAGGTGATGGCGACAATGCCGGATACATGGATCTTATCAAACAGGTCATGTGGCGATAAGTGATGCGATAAGTATTGCCCGTCTATAATTAGAAGGCGGTCTGTGGGTTAATGGAGGGGTGTTCCTTGGATGATTGTAACCCCACGTGATCAAGACCCGTCCTTAACGACAGAATTTCTTAACATAATGCGCATTGTCTGCAAATAGAAGGCGGTCGGTAACTCAAGGGAAAATAATATTCCGTCCTGCATGACGCCCGGATATCGCGATAGGCGATGATATGGAAATTACCTACATCCAACTTGAATACTTCTTTTTCTAGGATTTTCTTCGGGCTACCAGTGCAGCCTTACGGCTGTGGCCATACTTCTAACATGACCTGACATTGCCAGACTTTTATTTTTATGATGTTATCTTGGAAGTCCTCCTGCGCTCCTTGTTCCAGGGGTGCCCTGAGGTCTTTCTTGCGACCGAATTCGCCGCTTTTGGTTGAGCTGCCATCACGGTATCAATTACACAGAAATCATACAAGACTTTCCTCTACTTCCGCCGACAATGTTACCACAACACGATCTCTTTCTGGTGGGTACCCTATCTTTTTGCGCTTTTCGATAAGAAAACAACCAAATCGCAATTACTGATCTCACGCAGTTCCTTCCTCATCTAGATTCAATGACATCGGAGTCCAACAACTCAGCGACCATGTTCATGCTCAAGTCTTCCCAAATAAAGGTCGCATCCCGGACCCAGAACTAGTCGCACTTTCGAAGGATCATTTGGCTAGACATGAGCTCCTGGGCAAATCTCAAAATGGCACCGGCCCTGTCGCATTCGATCTTCCTGCTCTCAAGGGGCAAACATTGGACGAGCATTTCTACAAACTTGGAATGGATTCCTCTGAGCCCTACCTGACATGGGCTAAATCATATGCGGCTCTCAACTGTCCGGCCAAACCACGGAAATGGGTCAAACGCAGTGGATGGACGAAATACCATATTGATGGCACTTCTGAGCCTGTCGATGCACCCAATGAATCAATGTTAACATTCGACACAGAGGTCATGTACAAAAATAATTCATTTGCAGTCATGGCTTGCGCGGTAAGCCCGACAGCATGGTATGCATGGATATCACCGTGGCTCCTCGGCGAGTCACAAAATATAGTACAGCTGGTACCCTTGGGAGACCCTACTCAACCGCGAATTGTGGTTGGTCATAATATTGGTTACGATCGAGCCCGAGTCCTCGAGGAATACAACATGCAGCAGTCTCAAAACTTCTTTCTTGACACAATGTCCCTTCATGTGGCGGTCAACGGCATGTGTTCACAGCAGAGACCAACTTGGATGCGACACAAAAAGAATCAGGACATGAGAGATAAAATCGCGAATGAACACGATTCCGTCGAGCTTGCTGCACTTCTCGAGAACAACATGTTGAGGGAAGAAGAGGAAGAGCTTTGGGTTGGGCGAAGCTCGGTGAACTCCCTGCGTGACGTGGCCAAGTTCCATTGTGATGTCACTATCGATAAGGCGCAGAGAGATTTCTTCGGTGAACTTGATCGTGACTCTATCCTGGGAAGACTGGAGGAACTTCTCGACTATTGTGCCGCCGATGTTGCCATCACCCACCGTGTCTACCGAAAAGTTTTCCCCAACTTTCTCGAGACCTGCCCTCATCCTGTCAGTTTTGGCGCTCTTCGGCACCTGTCCTCTGTCATTTTGCCAGTCAACCAGTCCTGGGAGGAGTATCTTGCCAGCGCCGAGGAAACATATCATAAGCGACTTGATGATGTCCAAAGTAAATTGCTAGCACTATGCGACGAGGCATTGAAGTATAAAGACCAACCTGAAATCTACACAAATGATCCTTGGCTACAACAGCTGGACTGGTCCGGCCAAGAGATCAAAATGGCGAAAGGAAAGAAGAAGGGCGATCCCCCTCGGCCAGCAGCCAGGCAAAAGAAACCAGGAATGCCCAAGTGGTACAAGGATCTTTTCGCCTCCAACGCAGCAGAGATCAACCTAACGGTGCGAACTCGCATTGCACCGATTCTACTAAAATTATCATGGGACAGCTACCCCCTTGTTTGGTCGGACCTGCACGGATGGACTTTCCGCGTTCCTCGTGATCAAGTTAAACAGTATGAGAACCAGCCAGTCGTCATGTGCGATATGGCCGAGGAAAAGAACACCGAGTTGCGGGACGATAGAAAAGCCGTATACTTCAAAATTCCCCACAAAGACGGCCCACAGGCTAGGTGTACCAATCCGCTTGGCAAAGGATACATGCAGTATTTCGAGCGTGGAATCCTGTCTTCTCAGTATGAACTTGCTAAACAAGCGCTGGACATGAATGCATCATGCTCCTACTGGATCAGCGCCCGAGATCGAATCAAGGGTCAAATCGTGGTCTATGAAGATCAGGTGCAAAAGAGCGGAGGCAAAAGTGAAGCAAGCGAAAATCGTGTCGGATTTATTCTACCTCAAGTTATCCCCATGGGAACCATCACTAGACGTGCCGTGGAAAATACTTGGCTGACTGCAAGTAACGCGAAGGCGAACCGTGTCGGGTCAGAGCTAAAGGCTATGATTAAAGCACCGCCAGGCTACTCGTTTGTTGGAGCCGATGTTGACTCCCAGGAATTATGGATTGCAAGTCTTGTCGGAGACGCCCCATTCCAAATTCATGGAGGAAATGCAATCGGCTTCATGTGCTTAGAAGGCTCCAAAGCTGAGGGGACGGATCTTCACTCACGAAGTGCGTCGATTCTAGGAATCTCGCGTAATGATGCCAAGGTCTTCAATTACGGCCGAATCTACGGGGCAGGCGTCAAGTTCGCTGCTACTTTACTCCGCCAGTTCAACCCGTCTTTGACTGAAAAGCAGACACAGGAGACTGCTAAGAACCTATACAAAGAGACCAAGGGAACGCGCACTTCACGCCGCCTCTTGAGTGAGACGCCGTTCTGGCGAGGTGGTACTGAATCGTTTGTGTTCAATAAACTCGAAGAGTTCGCGGATCAGGAACGACCTAGAACCCCTGCTTTAGGTGCTGGGATCACTGAGGCGCTCATGCGACGTTTCATCAACAAAGGCAGCTTCATGACATCCCGAATCAATTGGGCTATTCAGTCGTCCGGCGTCGATTATCTTCACCTCTTGATCGTTAGCATGGACTATCTCATCCGACTATACAACATACAAGCCCGCTTGGCCATCACTGTCCACGATGAAATTCGATACCTTGTCAAAGATGAGGATAGGTACCGCGCTGCAATGGCTTTGCAGGTTGCAAACGTTTGGACTCGCGCCTTATTTTCGCAGCAAGTAGGCATTGATGATCTTCCGCAATCCTGTGCCTACTTTTCAGCCGTTGACATTGACCATGTGCTTCGCAAAGAAGTCGACATGGACTGTGTGACTCCTTCGCATCCCCACAAAATTCCGCATGGCGAAACGCTGGATATCAATCAGCTCCTCGAAAAGGACCAGGAAGCATTCTTGGATCCTTCCATCACACCGCAGTCACCTCCAAACCTCGAAAAATACCCATACACCCCACGGGAGTCGGTCATGTCCGCTTTCCAAGCTTCCAACGACATTGATTTCATCAAAGCCCAGATCACCAAGGATGACAAAGAGCTTCGCGATATCATCAAGGAGAAGACACGGGCGGCCACTAGCGCTAGCGCTCCCAGCCCTCGCACCCCTTCTACCAAGCCGAAAGGCAAATCTACCAATTGGACCTCAGCTAAGCCCCAGAGGGCAGTCCTGATGGACATGGAGTCAGGCCTCTACCCCGATTTCCACAGCCCCCCTAGGCCTAGTTCTCATGGGAACAAGCAGCCTCAAATGGGATTCCACCGTCCTTCCTGGAAACCACGGGCAACAGCCCGAGCATAATGCTGTTCCCCCCGTTTTTCTTTCTCTCATTCTCTCTGTATCCTCTTCATCAGCCTATTTTTACTGTAATTATTGCTCTACTTTCCCATCTTGTTTAGCTATTGTGGATGTTGTTATATCTGGAGTGATTGGAAGCCAGCATTGGGACGGCGTTAGTGTACGATGCATAGTGATGTGATGGAGTGGAAACCGTGTACCTATATGTACTTGTACGAATCAACATTAATGTTTTCAAGAGCCCTAAATATGTAGGCTAAATGTATAGGCTACGTACGAAATAGAGTACGTACTTCGCTGGGGCTGTTCCCGTCTCCCTTAAATGAGATAAGGTAGCTAGCTACTCCACCCGCACCCCCTGTGCACCCAGAGAGCCCCTGTGTCTCGTTTTTTCCCTGCTTTTTCCCAACTATTTATTCTCTGTTTTGATTTTTTCATTTCTCCATTTTCATTTTCATGTTCATGTCCATGTCCATGTCCATGTTCGAATAAAGCCTTTCCCTTTGAGACGGGTTTCGTGTTGATTATCTCTGCAGACGCGGCAGAAAAACGCCCCTTCGACGTCATTATCACCCCACGCAAGTTCGAAATGTTCTCCCCTGAGGTTGTGGTGTCTCGATGAGAGGTGCATTGATTATTCAAATATACTGGGTATATTTTAGCCAGTCATTGACTAAAATATCCCCCTGGCCCGGGATTCAGATCATCGAGGCGCAACGCATTAAAGTTCGGAGCCGATGAAAACTCGCCATCCCACCAACGCGATTGGATGTGCGCATCTATATGAACCGTGAAGATGAGCGTACACTCGCTTGATTATGCGCAACAGGGTACCCCACGAATCG